GCTGTTGGACCCAGGCCTGGTGACCAGGAACCTGAGAACATGCCCTTGGCTTTTCTGCCTGGGACCACAGTCCCACCCTCTGCATGAAAACTGGGGCCAGGCCTTGCTGCCCAGGCAGTGAGCTGTGCCAGAACCAGCAGGATTGAGGGCTGCTGGGTGGGTCCTGGGCAAGAGTGGGATGGCTGGACCCAGGCGCTATGGGCTGCAGACCCAGCCAGGTCTCCTGGCCACTGCCTTCCTAGGGCTCTCTCATGCTCAAACCCTCCATGGCTCCCCACTGTTCAGAATGACACCCTTGCCACCTTCCCAGTTTCACCTCCCTGTCTCCCAGCCCCTTTCCCATCTTTGTATAGGCTGTGCCCACTGCCACAAGCTCCCTTCTCATACCCAGAAGGCTCCTTTCACCTGAGAGCTCACTCTGGCCCTCCAGCTCTTCTTCATTCAGTTATTCAACAAACACTGACTGAGTCTCTACTTGGTGCCAGGCCCTATTTTATATATATATGGAGAGAGAGAGAGAGAGAGAGAGAGAGAGAGAGAGAGAGAGAACGAACACAGAGCAAATTTCTGCCCTGATAGGGGAGACAGACAAGAAACTAGACTGTGAACAAATAAAAACCATCAAGGGTGACAGGAGGGAGGAAGAGATTGTAGTGTGTGTAGGGGGAGGTGTCCGGCCTTGCTGTGAGGTGGACATCAGAAATGAGACCTGAATGAGAAGAAGCCAATGAGACAAACAGCCAGAGGAAGGGTGTTCCAGGCAGAGAGAACAGTATTTATAAAGGCCCAGAGGAGGAAGGGGCGGGTGGATGAGAAAAACAGCAAGGAGGCCAGGGTGCTTGGTGCAGAGTGAGCAAGGGGAGGGATGTCAAGGATGGGGGCCAAGTACCAGTGGGTTGAAAGGTCTAGGATTCTGTCCCAAGCACAGTGGATGCCACTGGAGGGTTTTAGCCAAGGGAAGCTGATCTGGGGGGTTGCAAAAATCACTCTGGAAGCTCTGTCATCTCTTCTCCCAGGGAGCCTTCCTGCAGCTGCTTAGCTACACGCTGTCTTCTCAGGCTTCCCACTGTCTCCTCTGGCTCCCACAATCCCATCTCAGCTCCCATCCTGCCATATCATCCTGCCTGGCTCCCACATGAGATTCTGAGCAATGTGGGCATCTATCTTGCTCGGTGATGAATCTCCAATATCCAGCATCGAGCCTGGTATACAGCAGGTGAAAAAATTGTCAGTTGACAAATGAATGTGTTCCATACATTTTGGAGCAAAACAGGACCCAGGAGCTGAAACCTGAAGATGCCGAGCACCAGCTCCTGTGATGGCCCTGTCTGGACACAGACACATCAGCCCCCATTCGATCAGGACTGGGTCAGAAGAAAGACTGGAGGCTGATGGGGCTTCCTGGAGGAGGAGGGGATGTGAGCAGAATGTGGAAAAAAGGAGAGTAAGAAGAAGAGGAATTCACTTCAGTTGGAGCACCTATGGCTCTGTAGCTCTGGGCAGGGAAAGAGTAGGCCACTCCCCACCCCTTCTGGGGGCTGTGGTTTCCCTGCCTTAGAATCCTCCATCCAGTGGATGTCTTGGCTTCAGGGGCCCTGGGCACAGACCACTCCCACCTTCCATGGCCATGGCCTCACTCAGGACCTCGTCTCCTCCTGCTCATCTCTGAAGCATGATACTTTAATGTTCCTTAACTTTCTGTCCTTGCCTCCCTGGCTCCTGAAATGTATCTTCCTTCCTGCAGGTGTGTCACTTGTCCTCCCTGCCTTTCCTCCTGCTTCAGAGAAGGGGAGCACCTCCACCCCCGGGTTTTTTTATTCCTCCTCCCTTGACCATAGGTTGAGGTCTCTTCTGTGAGAAAGTAAAATTCACAGCGAGTGAATACATCCCTCACTCAGCTTCCGAGCTCCTGTCTCTGTCCCCACATCTCCCCTCACCGCTGGCTTTGTTCTTCCCCTTTCCCACTCCACTCTATGCCTCAAGAGGGTAATCTCACCAGATTGTATTATTGGGCAGCCTTGTCCTCTAGCTTCCAGGTTGGTTTGGCCAATAGGAGGTACTGGCAGAAGAAAGAATGGGACATTTAATCCTTCTGCATCCCTCTCTGTAGGGTCATCTTAGTTGACTGTGTCCTTTGACCAAAGGCTCTGTCCACAGACATCTCTCACTAGACTCTGTTAAGCTCCTTCCTTCCTCTAACCCAGTCAGGGGGACTTAGAGATGGTTTTGACTCTCCCCTCGTTGGTTTCCTCAGACCCTTCCCTATGTGTATGGTCCCTGTAGCAAACGACTCAAATCACCACATTTGAACGTGTCTGTTGTTTCCTGCAGGCTCCCCACTGGGGTCCCCACTCTTCCCTCTGTATCCCTGTTTCACTGCACTCAGAGCACTCAGGCCCTGTCCTCAGCTCCCACTCTGGGGTTATCTCCCTCAGATTTGCATGGCTCAGTCCTCTCAATCGCTCAGTGCTTTTTGACCTTAGAAGCTATGCCCTTCCTTCTTGACTCCCCTCCTCCACTGCTATGACACCATGCTTGCCTGCTTCCCATCTTCCTTTTTTGGTCTCTCTCCTCTGCTTGTCCCTTAGATGTTGGAGGCACAGGGTGTTCAATCTCATCTTGTTCTCCAGTCTGTTCTGTGGAGACGTCATCCTCTTCCCCAGTGTGGGTGCCCTTCTGACCCGCTGGATTATCTTTATCTTTAAGCCACTAGATGCTTCTAGGACCCTGCCCCAGGGGTCCAGCCCCCAAGTAATATTTTATTCCTTTTTTATTTTTTGGTACCTGCCCCTAGTGGAAACTGAACCCTGGACTCTCTGGTCTGCAGGCTGATGCTCCAATCGCTGAGCCAAACTGGCCAGGGCCCAAGTAATATTTTACACAGATCTGTTGGGGACCCTCCCCTGATGGCCCCCATCCACTGGGGATCAAGATCCTGACCTGATGTTTGAAGCCTTTTGCAAGTGCATGTCTTCCCTTCCCAAACTTTCCTCCTGGTCTCATGGGAATGCTTAATCATTAGTGCACTGGAGCACATCCTTGCAGGAGTCAACTCCAAGGCCACCTCGTCCAGGTAGCCTTCTCTCCCTTACCCCCAGATAAGTGCCCCTCCCCTGTTCCTCAGTCCCTGGGGTCTGACCACACAGGACTGAGAGTGTCTGTGCCTGGTTCTGTCCCCACCCCTCCTCTATTGCAGTGATAGCGGCTTAGAGCTGGTGGTAGAAACAGATGAAGGAGTGAAAGCTTGAATGAGTGAATGATGGACTGTGTTCTTGAGGCGAGAGTTCAGAGCTGAGAGAGGGAGAGGCCGAGCTTGGGAGGGCCCAAGGCCCAGCAACCGCCCTCCAAGACCTCTAGGTCTCCAGTTCCCGCCAGAGCCCTTTGGCCAGAAGACGCGCCAGGATTGGCTGAAGCTGGGAGAGGCGGGTTTCGGCCGAGCCACGAGTCGCTACTGGCTGATTCTCCAGGGCTCTGCCCAATCAACGCGATCGCTTTCCATCCACTGTGCCTGTTTCCCTCCTATAGCCACTGAGGCGGAAGACGGCGCCTTCTCGTTACCCTGGCAACCGTCAGCGGACACCGTCGCTCCGGCAACTCTCCGAGGCCTCCAGTCAGCCTTCTCTGGGGCCCCTCCGGTCACCTAGACAACTGCTACCCGTTCTGGTCAACCATCAGCCCTTCCCCCGTCACCCTGGCAACCGTCGCCAGCCCCTCCGCCCCCTTGACACAATCCTGCTCCTGCCCTGTAGGCCTCCTTGTCCCGGACCTCCAGGCTCCTCACGCCCATCTCTGGGCCCCCGGGGGGCACTGCTCCTACCCTGGCCAGGGGTCCCAGCTCCAGTTACCGCCTCGTACTGCGACTGCGAGCGCTGCTCGCACTCTTGCGTGGGACTGATTGTCCAGCTACCACAGGGAGCTTTTCAAAATGCAAACCATGTCCCTCCCCTGCTAACCCCCACCCCCACTCCACCCCCCTTGAGAATCAAGTCCAAACTCTTCTGTCTGGCTGCCTCCTCCTTTGCTCTGCCTCAGCAGCAACTCATCTCATCGTTGTTACTCCAGTAACCAGAGCTTATTCCAGCCTCCCACCTTCCGATTTACTGCTCCCCACTCCCGAAAAGTGTGCCCCCAAGCCAGGGAAACCTTTCCTGAACCCCCTCTCACACTCATAATAGCTCTAATGCGTCTTGTCCGTTAACTCCAGAATGAGGAGTGTCCTTGTTCACAAGGGAGGGCAGAGAGGGAGGGCTAACCAGCAGGCAAGCTTTGTCCAGGCAGGCCCATCCCGGAGATGAGAATGTGTGTATTAGGTCTGCTGGATCCCCAGGAAGATTCATCATGCTGCAGGTCATGGCACTGTCCCCAAAGGCCAAAGGGTGGAGAGATAGATGTTGATGCTGTGACTAGTCTGGGGTTGGGAAGTCCACCCTTGACTTGTACTGCCCTCATTGGGAGTTTGGAGCCTGGGCACCCAGAAATTATCAATAGAAACTGGTGAATTTGGAGATGATTCTAGGAGCTGGAGAAGTAGGCCTCAGACCCCAGATGGCCATTCAGAGAGCTGGTTTCTTCCTGTGCCCAGTCCAGAATCTCATGTATCCTAAGAGAGCCGAGAGCTGTTTTCCCATGGATCTGAGTCAAGATCCCAGGAATCTTTCCTGGGCTGCTGTGAGAGAACTTGACCTTTCAAGTCCTGGAGTCATGAATAGATGATCATGGGAGGGTGATGCCCCAGGCTGGAAACGAGTCTGGACACCCACCTGCTTGCCCAGACAAGCCCTCCTTTGGTGAGGTAGTCAGGAGCCAAGCAGGAGGCCCCCTACACTAGGAACACCCTCATTAGTACTGTCCAATAATAGAACTTTTAATGCTGATGCCCTTGAAAGATGGCTAGTGTGACAAGAATCATATTTTTAAAATCATATTTGATTTTAATTTTTAATATTTAATTTTAATTAATATGCAATTAAATGGAAGTAGTCAGATGTGACTACCGGTACTGTATTGGGCAAAGCTGCAATTAGGTGAAGACCCAGGCTGGAGGTAGAAGCCAGGGACAGGAAGGTCAGAGTTTATGGTTTGGGGGGAGGGTCAATTTTGGCAAGAAAACTGGGGTCCCAGGGAAGGGAGAGAGAACACTCAATGTTTAGATCCATGGAGTAGAGTCATCCTGGTTTCCTGGGGTCAAAGTGTTTGTTCACATGTGCACACTCATGCCTTAGTGTGAATACATGAGTTGGTGTGCCCCCAAGGCACCCACAGATGCACTTGTGTGTGATCTAGGAGTTCCACACCTATGCATAATCCAGGAGACCAGCTATATATGTATGCTGTGTGGACTCCCAGGTGCATGCAGTCCAGTGAGCAGGGCCACTAGTGCAGCAGGTCTTGCAAGAAGGCCCACATGTATTGATGCATTTCCTCAGGGTGGCTCTGTGGGATCCAGTGCCCCACACCTGGCAGGATGTGGGCCTCTAGCCGGCCGGGCACAAAACGGCTGCTGATAGCCCCTACCAGACCTTGCTCCAAGTAGGTGTCCTTCTCTCCCCATAGCAGCAGGGTGGGTGTGGCCAGCTCCTGGGGCTCCAGGGGGAAGTTCCTATGACCAAGACAGACAGGCAGAGGATGGCTACTCCCAAACCCTTCCCCAGCAATTCTCCTGAGCTTCTGCATAGGTCTGGACTTACCTAAAGATGTTTCGATAGTAATTGAGGGGCCCAATGAGGCCACTGGGCTGTGAGAAGTCATAAAGGAAGGCCTCAAGCTCACTGGGGCTCAAGTGTGGGATGCCCCTCTTGTGGTGGGTGAGGGTGGTCTTCAGGATCTGGGAACACAACAAAATTCTGGCTTCAGTGCTCAACCTACCCAGTTCCAACCAACTACCCTCCACCCACCCCACCTCTGGCCTTCATCCTACTTCACCTGGAAGTCAGACATGGACAGCAACTTCTCGGGCAGCCAGGGAAGCTGGAACAGGAACACATAGTTGGAACGGAAGAACTGGCCAATGTGACGCATTGAGTATTCTAGGGGAAGGGGAATGCAGACATGAAGCCCTGGGGTAGCTCCTCACCCCTGCACCCTTATACACATCCTGGTGAGGCACACAGATGTGCCAACACTCAGGCATGCAACTGCTGTCTGCCTGAGCCTGTGAAGACACCTAAAATCCCCCTTCACCCTGGCACCTTCCCTCCCTGCTGAGTAGTCACTGTATCTACAGAATGGGGCACCTCCCTTTGCAGCTCCTGGGAGTCTCCACAGCCACTGGTGTGCTTCCCTTGCCCAGGCCTGCTTCATTCAAAAAACCATTTATTGAGCCAGGCCCTGTTCTAGACTCTGGAGACACAGTAGTGAACGGGATAGACAAAACTCCCTTATCCTCAGGGAGCTGACAGTCTAGAGATGGAGACAGGCAAGAAACAATGACTACAGAGAGAGAGAGAGAGAAAGGAGAGAGATGAGAGAGAGAGAGAGAAAGAGAGAGAGAACGAACGAGCATACAGTTATGACTACAATGCTGGGAATTAAAAACAGGTGATGTGCCCTGGCCAGTTTGGCTCAGCAGTTAGAGTGTCAGCCCGCGGACCAGTGAGTCTGGTCAAGAACACATACCTCGGTTGTGGTTCATCCCTGCCCCTGGTCAGGGTCCTGTGGGAGGCAACATGTTGATGTTTCTTTCTTTCTCTGTCTCTCTCTCCCTCCCACTCTATCTGATGATAAATAAAAAAATATCCTCAAGTGAGGAATAAAAATAAATAAAATCAGCTGATATGATGAACACTAGGTAGTCAGAGACAGCATCATATGCTATTGTAGTTGTTTAGTACCTATGCCTTCACTGCTAGAAGAAAGCCATTTAGCCTATCTCAGTTTCCCCAACTGGAACATGGGGATAATAACACTTTCATAAGCCTAGGAGGCTTGTGAAGGTTATTGTATGAGGCTCCTTTGTCAGAGAAATTGTTACCTGTAAGTGCTCAAAAAATGTGAGTTACTCTTAAGTGTATTGTCATTGATTGCAGATTGGGATTGCCACAGGGGAAGGGACCCAAGGTTCCGTGCTGCATCCCCAGCCCTTGGAATGTTGATTAGTGGATGCAGAAGTATAGATACAAACACATGCCCCTTCAAACAGACGCATCCCAGCGTTCTAGACTTCCTGACACACCTTGGTACACTGACATGGGAGCAGCACTGACCACCACCATCCGCTCAACCAGAGATGGGTAGTAGATGGAGAAATTCCAGGCTAGGAGCGCACCCCAGTCATGGGCCACAAGGATACACTTGGAGTAACCTGGGGGATCAGAAGAACTGGAGTGAGATGTCAGGCAGAGGTGAGTCAGGGATGGGGGGAGGCTAGGGTTAGGATGGGGGCACATCCTCACCCAGGCCCAGGATGACATCCTGGATATCTGCCATCAGCAAGTCGATAGTGTAAGAGTCCACATCCCTCGGTGCATCGGAGGAGCCATATCCACGCATGTCTACAGCCACCACGTGAAAGCGGCTCTGGAATTCCTGGAGCTGGTAGCGCCAGGAGAACCTGTCGAGCAGGCAGAAGAGGGAGGGAGGTTGAGTCAGGATCTCCAAGCAACACCTCCGCCCTAACCCAACAGAAGCCTTTAGCAACCCCACCTTCCTGCTCTGGACATCTCAGAAAGGAGGATGTGAAACCCCAGGCCCAGGGAGAGATTACTGCGCCCTCGATCCCGGGCAATGTTAATAGAGATTCCTCTTTGTCTCATCCCTTAGGGCCTCTGGTCCCTGGGTAGTCCTTAGACCTCTGTCCCACAGCTCCCCATCTGGGCCCTATATCTTTGCGCTCCCAGTCTACCCAGTCCTCCTACTGCCTCCTTGGGTGCTCTGGTGGTCCGAGCTTCACCTCCCCCCTGCCTTGCGTACCCAGGCCCTGGGCCTCAGACATACCAGTTCTGGGGGAAGCCGTGCAGAAATAGCATAAGGGGCCCGTTGCCGCATCCAGTGGAGACATAGTGCAGGCGCAGGCCCGAGCTCTGGGGGAGGGATAGTCTGAGATCTGAGGAACAATTCTTCCCTGGGGGACCCCTCTTCCTTATGCTTGAAACCCTCCCTTCCAACACCCCCTCCCCACCCTGCCCCGACCTTGTGAGGCTTAGATTTGGATTCAATCATTTGCGCTCAGCTCATCACGCCGCAGCCCTGCCTCCCAGGCTCCTTGATCCTTGCAACTCCGACAGCATCCTGCGCGCTCACCTTGAGGGTCAGAAAGCAGTGCTCGCCTAACGCCGGGTCGCTCAAGCAGGCGGGTGGGGTGCGCCGGGGGAGCCCGCAGCAGCCGCGCCGAGGCCGACAGAGGACGTGCGTGAGCGCAATGCAGCCGTAGACCGCCGCAGCCACCAGAGCCGCGGAGAACACCAGGCTCCACATGAAGGCGCGCAGCAGCTTCAGAGTGAGGCGGGACGGCGCCAGTAGAGCCGTCACTACCAGCTCGGGCATGTCGCCGCGTCCGGGGACGACCGTGCTGCCGTCGGGAGTGTCGGCCAGGGGCGCGGGCAGCAGCGTCGAGGCGGGGTCCGGGAAGTGGAGCCCACCGCCTTTGGCCTGGAGTCCTTCCGTGCCGTCGGGGCTTGCGCAACGCGCGGAGAAAAGGACGGGCGGCTAAGGCTAAAACCGCCACCGCACACGACTTAACCGAGGGCCAGGTAAACACCTGGGCGCGACGGCCACAGGGAACCAGACAGGGTGCGGGGGTGGAGCCTGCGAGGACCAGGCTTTGGTGGGTGGGAAGGAACCTTGGGGCGAAGGGATGCAAGGGGCTAGATTGGTGGGCGGGATTTAGCAAATGGGCGTGGTCTACTAGGTCTCCCGCAGCAGGTGGGTAAGGAGTGTTGCATGAATAGGAAAGAGTCCTAGATTGGAGTCCTGCATGAATAGGAAAGAGGGGGAGTCCTGGGTGAAACTCGAGGATCCTGAAGTAAAGGGGCGGGGCACTAGGGAGTAGGTGTGGCCTACTAGCCGGAAGGGTGGATCCAACCTGGCCAAGGAACGGTATAAAATTGGGGGCGTGGCCTATAAGCGTGGGCGGAGAAGGCGGGGTTTAACGGGCGGAAAAGGCCTGAGCAAAAGGGCTGGGCCAATGAGCTGGGGGCCAGCCTGAATCCGAGCCAATGAGACGAGGGGGTGGTGCCAAAAACCAATATGGCGGATCAAGCAGGCCCGATAGTAGGAGGATGGGGCCAGTTGCGCCACCGCTGAAATTAGGAGGGTGACGCGGGCGACTGCCGCGGCCTGAAGTGGCCTCGGGAGCCCCGGCCGCCGCCTCCCGGGAATTCCCTGCCCAGAAATGCAGGACCCTCCACTCGGCCTGGCTCCGAGAGACCTCACAGCATTTTCACCCAGCTCTGGTTCCAACGGCGGGTCTTGCAGCCTCGAAACCGCACTAGCCTCCAGTTGGCCCAGTGGGCCCTTCGGCCCGCCCCTGACCAGCTGTGATTGGACTGCGGCGGTCATTTTGACGTACAGGCGACAGGTCCCGCCGGAGAGCCAATCTGCAGGTGTTGAATCTCAGGTTCCGCTGGTGGCAACCAGTGTGACGGGCGTACTGTCTCTTCGCAGGACCGGGTTTGTTGTCACTGGGACTGGCCGAAAGAAAAATAGGGGCGGGGCCGGGCGAGAGGCTTCTTCCTCCTAGTTTTGCAACCTTCCCCCAAGATCCTGAATATTTCAGGGCCACTTATTTAACCCTTATAACAACCCTATTACGCATAGGTGCTATTATCACATCCCTGTATTACCACGAAACTGCAATTCCGGGATTAAGTCATTTGCCTCACGTCACACATGGCTAAACAGCAATTCAGGATTTTGAGAAAAGCGGCAATCTTGGGCTCCACCTCTCCTGCCCTTTGGCAGCTTATTGGAAAGCTTTTAGCTTTCTGTTGGTATCCTAGGTATTTTTAAATGTGCTTATGTACCTATTTTTTGATTAGCAATTTGGTATATTACCCATTGACTTGATCATGTCACCACCACTGGACATGCTATTTCCATCTGTAGTTTTTCTATTGGTTCTTCTAACTTGAACACTCCACTTACCCCTTTTTATCATCTCACCCCACCCCCAACCCCTTTCTACCTTTCACCGTTAACCTTACTTACCTTTGTATCGTCAGCGCTGAACATTATACTTTCCTGGAACCATAATTAAGTCTGTGGGTTGCTACTTAAAGGGAAATACTGGTTTATGTGGTTCGGCCTCAGTAACCATGCACTCAATCAAGTAGCCATCTATGATTACACTGTCCGTACTGTGCAAACGTTTGTTCTTCGTGCACTTAACCTACCTTTTTGTTTTTCTTTCTTGCATGATTAACCTGTGTCATAGCTTTGGTTTCTTTTACATTTTCCATAAAATCAATTCTCTTGTCCACTTGACAACCCTGGTATCCCTCCTGAGCTCTCTAATCTAGCTGCATGTCTGGTGGTTGTTTGGGGACATCCCTTCTGCCTCTGCTACACAACCCTGACTCACATCCCCACCTCCAATCAATCCCCAGCTCTACCCTCAAACAAAAAGACATCAGTAGTCACAGGATGGTAATTTTATATTCAGTACAAATGTTTATTTTTGCAATGAGAACCGCACAAAAAAAAAAAAAAAAAAAAAAACCTTTAGTATATAAGTGAAAAGTCTACGAATTCCCTTCTACAAATGTCTAAAGTGTTTAATACAAGTCTCAGATTCACTGACATAATTATTGGCCAAGCGATCCGTGCATACAGTACAGTGGGGGCTTGTACACACCTCTCACTCTTGTATAGGACTAAGATTTCTAGTACTGTGGGAGGGATTGGGAAATGGCCAGAGAAATTAAATAGATCCAAGTTCTAATTACAACCCAATTAGAGAAACACCTATGAGGGAGGTATGGAGAAAAGGTCATGACAGAGTTCACTCTTTAGAAAGAAGGTGCAGAAAACCATTTCTCCAGCTAAATAGTGGGACCTGGCCTGGGAAGTTTTGGAACAAAACAGAAAATGAGGGTGTGGGATGAGATAGAAGAAACCCCAAGAACCAAAATGTAAGTCATACTTGAAGCAGCACAGTGGTTTATGAGGAAGTGCCTGAAGGTTGGGGGTAGGGGTACAGAGTGATGGTGGTGGTGGGGGCTCTGGCTGGATGCTGGAACTGCACCCTCACCAGGAGGTTTGGGAGATCCCAAACACAATACACCGTGCCTTTCTAGTTAAAAGAGGATGTGGGTTAATAAACAGTGCTAGAAATGTTTCAATGTTGTGTCTCTGCATAAATATAAATGATACACTTTCATCTTATATCCTAGGGGCTGGGCTGCTCCTGGATACCTAGCTTGCCTTGTGACTACTGATGGGCACATAGGCAGGGGGGCTACCTGGTGGGCTCTCTCTGGCAGGAATGTGGGGGTGTGCATCTCCGTGCGTGAGGGAGGATCCTAGTTGGGAGGATGTACACTTATCTAAGAATATCTGATTAACCCTGAGCTTAAATGAAAGGAGTTAGGTAGAGGCAGGCATGGTGGGAGAAGTGGCCCAAGTCCCCTGGTGAGTGGGGGACAAGGATGTAGGAGGGTGAATACTGTCTGGAGTCTGGCCAGGTTCTGCTGGAGCACGTCACCTGCCTCGGAGGGAACAATGGGGGTACCTGGGCTCCCTGCCACAGTTTCAGCTTGGAATGGCTGGAACATACCATGGGAAATGGGCTACATGGCCCCTGATGGGAGTTATTATACAGACATGATTTGGGGTCCAGAGACTCCTGGGCCTAGCCTAGACAACAGGTGGTTCACAAAGAAATGTCAGGGAGACGCCAGCATTAAAAAAGAGAGATGTGTTTATTCCATGATCAGTACAGACCAAATGCATATTCACTGTATGAAAGTCAAACCAGTCACTGACTCCAGAGTATGGCCAACACTGAGCCACCAGTGTTGTGTAGAGTGGGTTCTCATGGCACACGTAACCTCACCAAGGGCTCCAATTATAAACTTTTAAAAAAAGTGAGGGAAGTGGCAGCTGGCTGGGTGGCAGGCACCAGGTGGATGCTGGGCCGGGAGCCTCTGCCTCAGTCTGTGGCCCTGGCACCCGCCTTGTGCACTGGCCCAACCCTTCCTTTTCTGGTAAAAAACAACTCAAACAGATTTGACATTAAAAAAACAAAGCCAAGGAATGGGGCTGGGAAAAGAAAAGAAAACACAGCTTTCTGGTTTTATAATTAAAAATAGACTAATAAAGTTTGAAACTGAGTACAACGTAGGCAGTTTTTTTGTGTTTTGTGTGTTTTTTTTGTGGGTTTTGATTTTTTTTTTTTTTTTTACACCAGTTTGGTGGAGTCACCAACAAACTTCAAACAAAAATATGCCAACTATGTTTCACTATACGGTACAGCCACGGTCACACACTACCCACAGCGCAGTGGCAGCTGCTGCCCAATGAGGAGAGGATTACACCATTTCAGAAATAAGCAGTGCCATTGTGTTTGGAGAAGAGAGAATTAAAAATAAAATAGAATCCAACAAAAAATATATATATAGAAAAACAAAATAAAAAACCCGGAAACACAGGTGGGAAGGAACTGACTTTGGTTGGTGGCCTCACTCACCAGGCGAGGCCGGCCCATACGCGCATGACAGTCACCTCGCTCTGGATTGCCATGGACACACACACACCTCCACGGCACTATTCCCTTTTGCACAAGCGAACACTTACAGAGAGCGGCTCTCAATTAAAGGCTTGTGGGGGGAGGGTAGGGGTGGGATCGGTTCAAGGCAAAGTCAGTGCCAGCAAGGGGGTGGGTGGGCCGGTGCCCTCTTCTGCCTCCAGCTCACTTGGGCCTGCGCCCTGCTGTCCTGGGGGCAAGCATCTGAGGCTGGGATGTGTGGAAGGACTCCCGGCAGGCAGGATGTCATGAACATCACGTTCTCGGGGACAGAAAACCAGTCGAGGTGGTGGCAGCGACGATGTCCTGTGTATACTGTGTAGACATTTGGCGGAGCATAGGGCCTCTGCCCGAACACGGGGACGCGGACTTGGGTCTGGCCAACACTTGCTCGTTGTGAGACGTGCTCTGAGCTGACGTCCTGTGAGGGTGGCAGGATGTCCGGCTGGCTGTAAGGCAGACGGGCTCTGCAGTCCTCAGCTGCCTGTCAGGACTGCCCCGGCACAGCATGCACAAGGGCCAGGCCCGGAAACAGGTCGTGGACGCTGCTACTGCCTCCACTGCCGCCCCTAATACTATGGAGAATCAACTTTTTGCCAGAAAGTCAGTCAGAAGTCACCCAGATCTTTCAGAAAAGATTTTCTTCAAATATTGACAATAGGTCACTCTGGAAATTCATGTCAATGGTAGCTGCCATCTAGAGGGAAGAGGAGGGAGGGAGTTAGGGAACCCCTCCAGTATCAGCTGCTTCCTCAGGGTCCACTCCCTGGAACCTCACGACCCAGAGGCCAGCAGGTATGGACAAGCAGGTACCCTGCTCCAAGCACCCACCTGATGGTCTCCCCGACTGCCTCACTTCCTAGAGTGACGCTTCTGCCCTTCTCTGGGTTCAGGGTCCCATTTCCCAACTCCTCCAAGGCTGGACTCCTGCCCCAGTGGGGGGAACACCAGGGCCCCGACTCACCGCTTCCCGGCGTCTTCGCTCCTGCTCCCGCTTTCGGGCCAGTTCCCGCTGCTGATCCAGCATGGACTGGGGCTGGGAGCTCTGGGCCTGGGGGGCGGCGGCAGCGGCAGCTGCTGCAGCCACCGCAGCTGCCTGTTGTTGCTGCTGCTGCTGCTGCTGCTCCTGTCTCTGCTGCTGCTGCTGCTCTTGGCGCCGGCGTGCCTCCTCATGGGCTCGCCTGGCCTGTTCCAGTGCATCCTCGTCCTCTCGGGTCCTGAGCAGAACAGGGCTTCAGGTCAGCCTGGAGCCTGGGGTGCCCCAGGAGCCCCCACCCACGGAGCCCTAGCCCACCTCATGCGCTCCTGCCGTAGTCGCTCCTTCTCTTTCTCCGCAAGCTCAGCCTGCGCCTTCAGCGCCTTCTCACGTTCCTCTTTCTCACGGGCAGCACGTCGGAACTGCTCAAAGCTGTCACTCGACGACTTAGCTGTGGAGGATGGGGTGGTGGGGTGCTTCTGCACCAGGCTAGCCCAGGAGCCCATGTTCTTGATTTTAAGGTCCTGCGAGGCAGAGAGACCACCGGGTGGGTGAGGGGCCCTGCTGCTACGTGGACACCTCCCTGGGGTGGGGATGGGGAGTGAGGTGCACTTGTGGGCCCATGGACCCTACCTTTTTAGGTGCAACTGGTGTCTTTGGCTCCTGTTTCTGTTTGTCCTTGTCTGGAGCCCCTGGCGGGGGAGCATTCTGCTCAGGGGGCCGGATCACAGGCCTTCCAACGTCCACAGGTTTCATCTCAGGCCCTGGAACACAAACAGCCTGTGGGCCCAGGTCCCCTACCTGGCTGGGCACAGTGGGTTGACCGGCCCGTAAGAAGCTCACATTTAGCCCTGGTAGGGAGTGGACAGGACACTCACGCTGGGGTAGGTGAACAGAGGCCTTGATACTCTCCGGATGTTTTGGGGGTTCTGGCCGCAGCGAGGGGCTGAAGGGCTCGCTGCGGATGATGGGTGAGTGGATCTTCTCCTCCTTCACCACCACCAGGGGCTGGGGCTGGGACTGGACCACAGAGGCCGCGCGCAGCTCCTGGGACGGCACAGGTACGGCGGCTGGTGAGGCGGGCAAGCGGCCTTGGCCCTGGCCTGTGCCTGGCCCTGGGGGCCGAGGCCCAGCCCTGCTCTTTACCTGCTTCTTCGGCTGGACACTTTGCTGGGGTGGCGATTGGTGGGTCAGGCTCTGGAACTGTTGCATCTGGGGGGAATGTATCATAAGCGGGGAGGGGGCTTCACGGAGGTGACCTAGGAAAGGGGACAAGGAGCATGTCAGCTAGATTGGTGTGGAGGCCATCACTAGTCCTGGGCCCACTCTGACCCCCCAACCAATGGGAGCCCTGCCACATGGGGCCTGTGGACATGCTCAGTCAGGCTCTAAGTTCAGTGTGGAGTAGAGCTTTGTGGAGCCATGTGCTCAGTACTGGTGTCTAATACCTGTTAGAACCATCAGGAAGCTCTGAGAAACACATAATCTGATAAATTTGGTCCCAGGTGGGGTCTGGGCCTGAGTACTTTTTCAAAGCTTTCCAGAAGGTTCTATGGCAATGCCTGGGTTAAATGAAAAGCACATCAATAACTTCACAGAGCAGGCAGCCTGGGTTCTGGCTGTTCCCGTGTGGCTTACAGTTGCTTTAGGCCTAGGGCTAGCTTGATACTGGCCTGAACCGCAGCAGATTTGGAGAACGGATCCTGAATTTGTGATTCCTGAAGGAAGTGGGTGAACCCATCCATCTTTATCCAACAATGGGTGGGAGGACCCAGGCAGCCATAGGGTGCAAGCACCCTGCACAGGGCAGGGGCCTGGAAAGTCCCAATACTGCTCCCTGGAAAAGGCATGGCCAGGCACTGAAGCCTGCCACCTCAGCTTCATTGGTGAGAAAGAAACCCTAGATCACAGCGGGCCAATCCCTCAGGACTGGGCAGCTGGAGAAGACACCAAGTCCTGTCCTCAACTCTTCCATCCAGCTCAGCAAGGGGACACCCTCCTGTTTGAACCCTTGACACATCTTGGCCAGCTCTGTCACTGACCTGCCTCCATCTGCCAGCACAGACACCCTTGGGCCCTCCACAGGCCTTTTGTGGAGCCATGTGGGCCTGGAGCTGACCACAACTGATTCCCCTGCACTCTCTCTAGAGCCAGAAAAGCTGTTTGGAAATGACACGGTGGTAAGGACTATCTTGTCCTTGTGCTTTGGCTCCCAGCCCCCATTTGGCTGGTTTCTGCCAGCCTAGGTGCTGGGTGGCTCTGGTTCAGGCCAGCCAGCCAGCCAACCAGCCAAAGTCACACGATTGTGACAGCCTCCTGCCTGGGAGCACCTGCAAAGGTTGACTGGGGTGATGGCAGGCTCTAAGGCATATGATCTGCAGGAATCGCCTGCCTGTGAGTGACTTCCTCAACCAGCACTTAGAGGGGAGGCCCAGTCAGTGTGGTGCCTGAGAGCTGGCCCGGCGCCCAGAAATGTCTGCTGAGCTCCTTAGGACTCCAACAACTTGGCCTTTGACCCAAAGCCCTAACTGGGCTCCAATCCACATAGTTCCCTGTGACCAACCCTGGCTGTGAGAGCTCAAGGGGAGACGAACCCAGGTGACCAAAAGGGTCCTGCCCAGCCCCCACTGCTGGCTCTTTTGAAGGTATCTCATCACCTATCACCATCTACCACCAGAAGCCTGGCCTTGCTCAACGGTGGGAAGAGGCACAGCTGCATGGCTGCTGGAACGGGCACCAGTCTTTCTCAGGGAGGACAGCAGCTGTTCTTGGCCTACAGCCACAGCAATCCACTTGACACCTGGCAGCTTTTGTTGGGTTTAGGAGCAGTCATGACAAAGTTATGGCCTGTTCAATTTGTGAGCAACACTGCTGCACCCCCAAGCCAGGCATCGGTCTACACTGCCAAGTCCAGGGGCTTCAACTCTGACCCTTTTATGTCACTAAACCACGAGGCACCGATACCACATTCTCATACAAGGGCTGGCCAGAATAGTTTGTTTACAGACACTTAGATAACACATGCTCAAGAAAGGCAAGAGGACATGGCCTGACCAATGCTCTGGAGGAAAGCAGCTTAGACCAAGCAGCAGGGGACAGGAATGGTTCTGGGGGAAGGTGGGAGTCGCACCAACTCTCCCTGACATGGTCCCACATGTATCAGACAGCCTCACGACGACAAGAACAGAGCACCCATTCCTGCAGGTTCTCAAATAGCCCCCACTACCGAGACCTGCCCATGGATCTGCCTGGAACTTAATCTCCACTCTATTTATTAAACTAGCTCCTGTTCATCCTCTGGCCACCTTTTCTAGGAAGCTTGTTCCAACCCCCGAGGTGGACTAGGTGCCTCCCCAGGTTCCTGGCTACCCACCTAGTGTGAATCATGATGCATTATAATATTCTTGACAAAGTTCCAAGACAAAAACCAGTGGAGGCCTTATTCTCAGTCATCTCAGCTTGCAAGCAAGACACCCCCAATAGAGACACTGCAAGAAGCTCCTACATCCTATCAGCCACCCCTCTCCAAATTCAGCCTGAGCTGAACTGCCTGGCTGCTCAAGGGCAAAACCCTAAACCCAGCACCAGCCTCCATCGAGCCCAAGAGTTGGGGGACACTTACTGGTTGAGTATGGGTCCGACTTGTGGTGCCGGGGTGAAGGGTGATGCTGGATGACTTGCTGAGGCTTGGCAGGCTGCGGTGGGGGTGGCTGCTGGCCAGGAGGCGGGTGTGGCGGCTGTGGGCCTGGGGGTGGCGGGGGCTGCTGGATGTGGGTGGGGAACTGCATGGGTTGCATGTGCACAGGCCGGGGGGGTGGCTGGTGCTGTGGCTGTGGCTGTGGCTGTGGTGGTGGTGGAGGCGGTGGAGGCTGCTGTAGCTGCTGCTGCACGGAAGGGTGAGGTGGGGGTGGCAGGGGGGGTGGAGGCTGGGACTGCACCTTCACGGAAGGAAGCAGAGGTGTGGGGGGCTGCACCTTCTGCAGCTGCTGCAGGTAGAGCTGCATCTGCATGGAGGTGAGGGGCGGGGTGGGTGGCTCCTCTTCCTCCTGCAGCAGCACTTGGGGTGGCTGGGCCATGGGTGGTTGTGGGAGCAGGGGTGGCTGGGCCAGAGCAGGTGACACAGCAGGGGGCCGGGAAGGCTTGGGGGGCAGGGCGGCGGCTCGATTGCTGGGCCTTGATGGCTGCTGGGGCAGCGCGTTGTGCAAAGCTAGAAGGACACAACAGTGTAGCAGTGAGGCTTCCTCAGTCCCCAGACTGGCCTTTCTACTCCATCCTGACCTACCTGTCTCTAATACGCATTCTCTCCCCACCATCCTCAGCTTCTCACCATCTCTGGAATAAAGACAGTTGACAGGGTCTACACAGTGGTTCTCAACCTTCCTAATGCCACGACCCTTTAATACAGTTCCTCATGTTGTATGTGGGCGTATCTGCATGTGGGTGGACCCGCCTGGAGATGGATAGAGGAGCGGTGTCTCGGTTCCTAAGACCATCGGAAATATGTCTTCCGATGATCTTAGGTGACCCCTGTAAAGGGTCGTTCGACTCCCAAAGGGGTTGCGACCCACAGGCTGAGAACCGCTGGTCTACAGGATTGGCCCCTCACCAGCATTGTCCTGCCAGGTGGTCTGTGCCTCCCACTTCCCTCCCTTCCTCCAGCTGTTTTGTCCTCACACTTGCCCTTCAAGTCTCAGAGCAGGCATGTCCTGAATGTCCCCATATGACCTTCCTATCTGGGATATGTGTGTGTGTGTGTGTGTCCCCGCACTCCTGAGAGCTACAGAGGGGTCATGGCACCTTTTTTCATCTGACAATGCCTAACCCAGCACAACTGACTCAATCTCTTGTGTGTCAAACCGCTAACTCTTAGCAAAGGCTATCCTGGGGTGTCTTGGGTAATTTCCACAATGGCCCAGGGAAGCTGCTGACACTCTCTTAGAGACAACAGAAGCTGATCTGGGTTCTGAAGTTTGCCCCAAGCACCCAGTTGCAGAGTGGCAAGACCAGGGTGGGAAAGGACCTCCCTGAACCTGGTGGCCATGACCACAGCTCACCTGGAGGAGAGACCACTGAGTGCTGGTTGAGATGAGGCGGAGTACTGTGCTCGGGTGGCTGGGGAAGGTGAGGGGGCAGCTCGGGCTGCGGCAGGTGCAGGATGGGTTGGGTGAAGTGGCCGATGGGGTCGAAGACACTGCCTGGGAGCTGGGGCTCCAGGACGGGCACCTGGGTGGCGATGAAGGGTGGGGGCGAGGACTTCATCGTGGGGGCAGCCTGCTGCGGCATGGAGGGTGCGGGTGGTGGGGGTGGCTGTTGCTGCTGCTGCTGCTGCTGCTGCTGCGGTGGGGGTGGTGGGGGCTGTTGGGGAGGTGGCGGGGGCTGCTGGGGCCCAGGGCCCGGGGCCTGCTGCAGCTGCTGGTGGTGGTGGTGGTGGTGGTGCTGCAGACAGACAGACAGACACACACATAGGCTGATGTCAGGCAGGCAGAAAACCCTGGACCAGCCCCAGGGTCCCCCCGGGGCCCACAGAGGCAGGTGGCCACCACTCCCCTGATGGAGGACACCTCTGTGATCACATACCTTCTTCTGCTCCCTTCCAGGGTGCCCCTTCTTTTTTGACTTCGGAGCCATCTCTGCGAAGGAAAAGAGAAGGGAGTGAGGCCTTGGGGTGGAAGACTGAGCAGCCTTAGATGCAGAACAAGAAAACAGGGTGAATTCAAGAGAAGGGCCAGTGACAGTGAGACAGGGTGGCTGGATTCTGTCTGGTATGGGAGTTCGTCACGGGAAAAAGAAATGTGTAGTGTCTCCTTTCTTAGCTAGAACCATGCCTGAAAAGCCTCCCTGCCCAACTCCTGATTGCTAGTTCCATTGAAGAATAACACCTGGGGAACTGGGGGTTGAACTGTGAATTCCTTGCCCAATGTTTCCCCCTACTTTCTGGTGAGAGGTCACTAAGGCAACCTGAGCGTCTGTGTCCCAACCCGGAACACATATGTCTCGGAACACCCATGGTGTTCGAAATGATCATATCAATTCAACAGATGAGCAAAGTGAGGCTCAGAAGTTAAGGGACTTGCCCTGGGTCACACAGCTGCCTCCAGCGACAGTGTCCTCTGAAGTGCACTTCTTTCCATTCCCCCCAGGAGAAGCAAATATACTGAGTTGGGGTAAGAGAGAGTGGTGCGGGTGTAGGCCAATGTCTGGCCACAGAGCCATGGGACAGGTGAAGAGAATGCAGACATGTGGGAAGGCCACAGTCTAAGTACTTTAGAGGGGAGGAGGGAAGGAGGCAGGCTGGACAGCAAACCTCCTCAGGACCACCAGGAACAAATGGGGAGATGCTCAATGCCATGGCCAGCTTCTCCTTCCTCTTGGGAGAGTGGTCTCAGAGAAAATTAGTGTTGGTATGCAATGGATGTGCTGCAGGGAGAAGGCAGTATGTGCCCTGGTTCCTCAGAGGCCAACAGAATGTTGCTGCCACTATGTGGACACATTTGTGAGGTATACACAAGAGCCAGCATGCCCCCCGCCCCCCATCCCCACTCTAAGGAACTTGCCAGCTGGTTGCCCCTCACTAAATTCCACTGGTATGCAAACCCCAGAGGACAGAGGCCCACCTGGTGCTCATGGGCTAAAAAATGATGAAGCTGCCAACCACCAGGTGGGAGATTAGAACCCACAGTGCCTTTTGGGCTCTTGTCACCTTTGCCTAGCATCCCCTGAGCTCCTTGTCAGCGTGCTGGCTTTTGCTGCTTGGGTCATAAGACACAGATGTTGCTCAAAGCAGGGCTACCTCCATTCAGCTGCTTCATGAAGGGGCCTTCCTTATAAGGTTCTGTGAGGTACAGGGCCTCATGGTGCCACATGCCACCCAAAGGGCAAGGGACCTGGTGCCCTGCAAGAGCTCACCACTCCATGCGAGAGACAAGACAGTGACACAGAACTCAGCAGCTAGACACATGTCCTCATGCAAATAGCAGTAACTGGCACACCTGGGACATGAAAATTGTAGGCCCAGGCCCAAACTGGGATATTAGAAATTTCAGGATATAGGGCTCAGGGCTCTATTGTGGGTGAGACATACAAAAGGGGACAGTTCAGGGGGTTTGCATGACCAAGGCCACAGGGTTTGGCAGCTACATGGTGGGGAGTAAGGGGAAGCACCATACTGAAGAGGCTAGGGTCCTTGTACATGCTGGGGGAAAGCTCAGTGCTGAGAGGCCTCCAAAGAAGAGGCTGGGGTGTTCCTCCCAGCATCAATTCTATTAACAGAAACTGAAGGTTGAGGGAGGCTGGGGACAATTGTTCATACACTGGGCATGCTTCTGGAGGGCCTGAGGGGAAGGGGGCCAGTGGGTAAATTCTGACCAGAAGACACTGTGTCATGGGGAGATAGTTGGGCAGGGCTGGGGTGGCTTGTGGGCTTGGTGAAGCACTGTTTATCCCACCACACAAGAGGGACAGTGGCTCCGAGTCCTATCCCCCAATAGGCCCTGAGTAGAGAGAGAGGCTCATGCAAGAACACGTGGGGATAAAGTGCAATGGGACCCTGGAGGTGCCAGGAAACAAATCTCAGCTGCCTTGCAAAGGTCACTGGGAACACTCCAGGGCTCTGTGGCAGTGCTGGACAGGGCAGGCCTAGATTGGAAGAGAGGCTGGAGGCGCAAAGCATACCCTCAGGACCAGAGGACTAAAAGGACCAATGGTGGGGACCAAGGGTGCTGGAGCTTGTTTGGGAGAGTTCATCTGGCTTGTGTGGCCCGAGCCTTATGTTGGAGTGACTGGTAGGAAGACAAGACAGAAGTGCACGGCTTCACGACACACCAGCCCCAAGACACCCCCACACAAAACTCTCTAGAAAGGGTTACATGAAGATGGCCTCAAGTACTGTGTGATCTTTATTCCATGAAAATCTTGAACTCAACACAAATGTCATCTTTACATAGGATGGTAATTGTACAAAGAATTAAAACGTTTTTGTAAAATCTGATTAAAACACTGATTCCTCCTCCCACACCCCCCAAATCAAGGGAAGGAGACAGGATGGAGAGTAAGGGCAGGGAAGAGGTATGAATCCCCGAAACTGAACTAACTAAGGGGTCTTGGTGTCAGTGGACACATGGGCCTCCCACCCCTCAGCAAGTCCTCAGGCCCCGAAGCCCGACGGTGAGTTGCGGTCCGGCTGGCACTTCCCACTGCCCGAACATAGGGGTCTTCTATAAGAAGTGGGCACTGACTGCCCTTGGCTCTGTTCCTGGGGCACTGGGCATAGGTGAGAGCTCGAGTCTAAGATCAAGTTCTCTGTCATAGGGAAAATCCATGGATAAGGACAGGATCCCTGAATAGCAGAGGGTGCAAGGACCCTGTAGTCTGTAGCTACAGCCCATGTACAAGCGTGTGGAAAGGGGTGAGGAGGCACATAGACCGACACCGTGGGAATCCAGGTTGCCATTTGTTCCAAGACGGCAGAATCTTCCCAGAAAGATAATGCCAGCTGCTTCCCAACTGTCCTTTGGGAATCTCTCTGGGCATGAACCCCCCCAGCTTCAGCTAGGCCAAGCTGCACTGGGAACACATCAGGCACAGGCCAAAGGGCAACTGAAAACAGCGTGTTTGGCAAATGGTGCTTGACTGGAAGCCGACTGGCCAGAGGACCACAGAGCAGCCTGGGACTCTTGAGCACCACAGCAGGACCACAGAGGCTGTGGGTAGGGGTGGGAGGCTGGAGCTAGAACCCAAGGCCAAGGCCAGTCTGAGGCAATTACAGCCACTTGGGCATGCTGATGGTGAACTGCACCTGCTCGAGCCTGCCTCCAAGATGCCAGCAGATGGCCAGGCCTTGAAATATGCACAAACTACATTAAAAAAAAAAAAAAAAAAATCTCCTTTAAAGGCAGATGTTGCTCCTTAGGGGACTTCTCACATCAGGCAGTTTTCTGCTAAGATGCTGGATTCATGACCAAAAAAGAGCTGATACTTATTTTTAGAGCAAAAAAGCCTATTCAGTGCCTCTCAGAGGGCTTATATAATGAGGCCATCCTGGCCTGCTCAACTCCCAGTGGTGGTGGCTGCCATTATTCCAGGGGACTAAAAAATAGGAGGGTGCTAGCACTGGCCATGTCCCTCAGAGATGTTCAGGAAGCTGGCCCCAAGGGCTCTGATGCCCTTACTATTGACCAGTCCAGTGCTCTGGATTTTGAGAGCCCTTTCTCACCCACTAGCACAGACCCCGATCGTACTGGGGGCAGGAATGATGGGCTCCAGGGGCCAGATCATAGCTGATCTTCCCCAAATACCCTCACAAGTGGCCAGCCCTACTGCAGCTTGCTTCTATTCACCTGGGAGAGACAGAAGGCAGCCTAGGAAGTACTTTTCCTATGCAACTTTAGGAGAAGAGGCCAAAGAAGTTGGAAAAATGCTCAGTAGGCAACAATGGGAACAACAAAAATGGAAGGACTCCAGGGGGCTGTGAGTCAGCTGTGGCTGGTGATAGCCTCTGGCTGATGGAGCTGCATGGGCTACTAGAAAAGAAGGCGTGCTGAGGGACAGCTCCCATTCCTCACTTGGGAAAGCTCTGGATGTTAGTGTGTTCTTCCTTAGGCTGAATGACATTTCCCCTGGATTAAATATCACTGCCAGGTCCAGGAGGGAAGTGGTTAGGATCCAGAGTCCCAGAAAAAGAGAGGAATGAAGAGAGAAAACATACTTGTGATGGGGCCTTGCACATGGAGCAGCACCACACGCATGCTTGTGCAGGGAGATTGTCATCACTCTCTGGGAGATGCCACCCACCCAGAGAAGCCCAGACGACCAAGGATGCTGGGTGGGACAGCCAGGCAGTCTGTACACAGGAGGCCCGGGCGGCCAGCCAGGCAAGGCAGCCTTCCCGGAGGTGGGACTAGGCGTGTGCTGCTCTGATGGACATGACTAATGCACCCCGGGGACAGGCCCAGGGCTCTGAGGAATTCCATAACTTGATGGAGTCCTGTCCCTTTCACAGAAGAAAATGGACTTAAGCTAGAGCTTGCTGGGAAGGAATCTGGAACTGAAGACCGTTTTATTAAGAGTCCGTGTCCAATGATTAGGCAGGACCTACATAGAGGGAGAGAGAAACCAGTGTGAGAGAAATGGTGTGAAATGTACCGTTCCAAGTCATAAGACCAGAAGAACTGCAGACTGAGCCAGCCTCCTGTGCCCTGCTCACTGACAGGGCACCAGAGAATGACACTAGAGCCTAGAAGCCCTACCCCAGCCTGGTCAGTTGAGGGAGGGGACAGACCCACTTTCCCCTTAGAAGGGCCATGGAGGTCTCGAAAACCACCCAAGCCTGTTTTATGCTTCTAGACAGAACTGCCCCCCGTAATGTGCCCCATGTGCACCTCGAGTGCACAACAGCATCTCTTTTACCAGTCTTTTAATGTGAGAGGCCTCTGCCTATCCTACTCACCTGTTCTACCAGGCTGGAATGCCATGGCATAAAACCCCACTAACTGTGAGCATACCCCCATGGGTCTGCTTTGCTGCACCTGTCTATCTCAGGAAGGTGACTTGGCCCTCTCTCAGGACTTAGGAACAGACTCTCAGTGTAGCATCTACAGCCAACATCTCATTCCTGCATTCCTACAAACTCCAAGAAACAGAACCAAATTTTAAAAAGATAAATCAGTTACAGACACTGTTAAAAGGGAAAAAATAAAAACAGGACAAAGGGAAAAGGTGTCCTTTCTTTTTCTGGGGCATGGAATTCAGCTCCCCTTGACCAGGAAGAGACATGGGGTCATTCCCACCCACACAGCAGAGCAGATGCCTCTGCCAGAGTCATGGATGCACTGACACTGACTGCATTCCCATGGTCTCCCCAGTGCAGGCATGGGAAAAACCCGCCCACTGGCCAGCCTCTCACTCAGGGCACATTCCACAAGGCTAGTCCCGCCCCAGAATCCCACCAGCTGCATGTGGGTGTGTGAGGGGTCACCTGGTGGTGTGGGTAAACTGGCTATAGCCCCACCCTCCAGGTCTCTGCCTATTCCCTCACCCCCACCAGGGGCCTCTCCCCTTCCATGAGAGTAAGCGGCACACCCTTTGAGCGGGGAGCAGCAGGCCCCAAGAATGGACTGGGAACAAGTTCCTCAGAGACCTCAAGGGTCGGAAGCTGAGGCTGGTTGTCTGGGAAGAATGCCCCATGGCCTCTGTCTGCACTTTCCAGCTCAAGTCTTTCCAAAACATAAAGCCCCCCCCCCCCCCCCCCCGCAAGCTATTAAAAGACACCCACATGCTCCAATCCTGGGAAAAGGAAATGAAGATACTAAAATAGCTGAAGTGTGCTCCCGCTGCAACTAGAAGAGCAGGCCAAGCCCAAGAGAACCACTCCACAGCTCCCTGAACTCAGGTTCTAGCCCTGGTAGTTTGGGACAAGGGTTCCTCCTGAGGGACACAAGCTGTGTTCCACCCTCATCCAGAAAGAGCCAGACATCAGCATTGTGATGGAGGGAAGCAGGATGAAGACTCCTAGGACATCCCTGGCCCCATGAGCCAGGTAGACATGATCCTAGCACTAGTGGCAGGGAGGCCACAGCTCTGCCCACAGCCCACCTGGACAGCAGTGGAAAGAGGGAACCAGGGTACCTTTAGCTTGCCCAGCTAAGGTCTACAGATGCCTTAAGGATAATGAGATGGTGGCATTTGTACCCACTCCAACCTCCTAATATTGAACCCTCAAGCAGATCCAGACTTTACCTAGAACTGTTGACAGAAGACCAAAACCCAAATAAAGCTGGGTTCAGAAGATGTGGTGGAACAGACCAATAGTGCTCTGTGCTGAGGGATGGGGGAATATGGGGTGACTTGGGACTGGGCTGGGAAAGCAGTGCCTGCCTCCCTTTCCACTCTGTGAGCACACTGCCTCCCAGAACAGCAACGTGATCCCGAGGACCAGCCCCATGCCCTTGGCATCCTTGTCTGTGAACAGCGGCCAGAGGAGGGGTCCAAGTAACAAACCCTCTCCCAAAATTAGTGCCTCTGTTCAGTTTCTTTTGGTGACTCATGTTTTAAGGCTGTATCAGAACTGACTCTTAACACAAGTGACAAAATATAAGCCCTTTCAGGAATTTCAGCTCCAACCCAAATGGAAACACAAGTACAAGGAGAGCAAACCAATTTAAATCCAAAAGACCAAGGAAAATACCTCTAATACACCACCCCGGCCTCATGCAGAACCACCTATAACTGGTTGCTGAAACCAGGGCTGCCCAGCTCCATGGACCCATAATGAGCAGCGTATGGAGGAGCCGCCCGTGAAATGAGTGCAGTTTCCTGTGAGAGATGGGTGGCAAAGGCTGCATTCACTGCTGCACAGTCACAGGGCTCACACTTTGGAACTTGGAGCATCTGAGCCACAGGGCACAAATCCACAGAGTGGGTCCTTCCTGACAGCAGCCCCTGCTGGCCCACGACAGAGCACTCCAGTGCAATTTTATGGGTAAGGAAAGCCAGGAACACAAAGACAAAAGAGAGACTCACAAAACCCAAGGTGGGGAGGGCCCATGGGAAATGGGACAAGCTGGAGGCGGCTGGATCATGGAGCTCCGGTGCCTGCAGGCCGGCAGCTCAGAGACCGTAAATCTCACCCTCCTTCCCGCCAAGATAGCTGTTCCCAGGACTCTCAGATTACTTGTTGCACAATCTTTTCACTTTCTTTAAAAGAGGAAAAAATGTGGAAAAAAATACAATAACAAAAACATGTTGGCTGCAGCAGAGAGCTGTTGTTGGAAATGCTGTCTCGACCGCCTCACAAAGACAGGAGCAGGGCACTAGGGAGCCCTGGAGAGGACCTACTGATGCTTGGGGGCCAGGGACAAAGGCTAGTCATAACCCCCTAAGATTCCACATCAGCAAAAGCAGTTCTCCCTCAGCAGAGCTGCGCTGTTTTAACGACCAGGTCCTGTGCCAATTTCGGCCTTTAGTGTTTTCTTTTGGCCACTCGATTCCTTAGGAGAAAGGATGAGAAACCCCTAGGAGAAGCCTACTAGGAACCCCAGAGTGAAGGCAAACCCAAAGTAAGAAGTCAGCTGCTACCAGGAATGCTAATTGGGCCCAATAATACAGCCATTCATCCCACAGAGGGCAGGAGTCTGACCAGGCAGCCCTTCCTGGGTAGGCATGGGGGTGTGGCACCCCCTGCTGGTAGATGAATAAAAACTCAACGGGGGTGGTGACAGAGGTGGCCAGCAAACTGCACACATCAGTCTCTGCATACAGTGGTATGCTCAATAAAGAACATGGCCTAATTTCATCTCTTTTTGGGCCTACTGAAAATGAGGTAATTCAGCATTTGGAGTCCTGGAGAAGCCCTCTCTTAGTACCCCGCAATTCCCTTGCAGATGAGTCCCTCATCAACTTGGGAAGTCTGGTGCCCTTACTGCAATAGGGAAGAGGGACAGTGACAAGGCCCAGAGGCTACTGGTCCCCAGCTTCCCAAAAGAAGCAGGCTGAGCCCACACAAGGAACCTATGAGTGCATGCTTCAGGGCAGTATCACTCCTCCCAGATGCTGTGCTTCTCAAACCTTCATGGTACCATAAAGTCACATTATTTATAAGAACTGATTAAGTGGAGCTTATGGTTGATTTCTAGTTGGAATAAAATAACAGACACAGGACAGGTCCACAGAAGAACATGCTCTGTTGCTCAAACACACATTCCTCACTGTGGACATGCACACTGCTGCCTGTCTGGAGGAACATGCTGAGGCCCCCCAGGATCCGCTCTCAGGTAGTCTGCAGATTGTCTGCTCAGCAGTGGCCACCCCATGAAAACGGCTGGCTCCATCTCACTGCATGGACTGGTCACCACTTCTTCCTTAGCCTCTCTGGGCCAGTCTGAGCTTCTGCTCCCAAGTATCATCAGGAAAGCGCAAAGCTGTAGGAGGGCTCCCCTCCCCACTAACTGTGCAGCTCCCAGCATCTCTACTTGCCCTACCTCCCCATGCTAAAGCTGATGCTCAAGGTGAAGCACATGTGCAGGCCCATGAAGCATAAAGATAAGAACTGTTAGAGGTGCAGGACATTACATGTCCAAGTGTGTGCAGAGTTAGGTGCCACCAACACAGCAGATGAGGATGGCAGTGTCCTGAGCTCGGGGTAGATAATCCACACCTGCTGAAGCACATCACCTAGGATGGCTACATGGTATGTGACTGTGATGCAGGGAAGATGTGGGGCTGAATTGGGTCACACTAGGGTCAATGCCAACACCCAGGCCCAACACCCAATATCCTCAGCAGCTTCCCCCAACCCTGGTCCTACAGTGTCAATATCCTCAGCCACTTGTGTCTTCCTCCTACCTCAGGCCACAAGGGAAAGAATAGGCCGCCCCAGTTAGAGTTAAATGTGGCTAAGTCATTCTTATGACAGTCACATAGGACAAGCAGGGTTGAACACAGGTGGGAGTGTGACAAGATGCCAAGTAGGACCCTAACCTGTTTCGGAGTCTTCACTGTCAGAGGAGCTGGACTCGCTGGTGCTCTCAGACTCGGAGGATGAGAAACCCTTCATCTTGGAGGAGCCAGCAATCACATCCACTTTCTCGGCTGTAGTAAAGCAATATGATCTGCGTCAGGCAAGGTCCAACCCAGGGACTACTCTTAACCCAGGCATACCCCACTGCCTAGAGGAAGGGCCAGGAAGCAGTCTATGCCCCATCAGCCAGAGGGCTGCCCATGACAGCATTCCAGACCTCAACTGACCCCACATTTCCCAATGATAAGATGCTAGCCTACTGTTTGCTAGCCGAAAACTCGGCTAATTCTGAAATCTCAAGCCACTTGCCTATCCCACCCCCACCTCCAATCTCTTAGAATCTCCTCTGCAGAGTCCATCAGGATTAAGAGACTGGCAGGAGGAAATTCCTTATGAGAAGGACTAATAGGCTAAGGCTCCCTCAGTAACTTTCCTGGTAGTGGGTGAAGAGGACCCAAGGACCCCTGGAGTCAGTTTGGGCTGGGCTGAATGCTGCATACAATATCCTGCTACAGATCTTAAGTACTACTAAAAGCTGGGCCAAGACAAATCCCTTGTAACACAATAGGGTTGTCTGGAAGACTCAGAGAGGCAGCTATGCTGAGCTAAAGAAGGGCAGGCAGGCAGGCAGGCACACAGCTGCCCTAAAGACTCTTGCAGCCTCAATCCTCAGAGGCACCAAAGGGGTGGCGGTGGTGGGGTGGTATGTGTGTGGCTTGTAGGTGGAAGACTCAATGGCAGAGGCTGAAGATGAAAGCAGCTGCTGCTCAGAGCAAGGCTTAGGACACCAGTGCAGGTGGGCTCCAGATGGCCACCAGCCAAAGAGGTCAAGAAAGGCTCTGACAGCCCAGGGTCAAGTGCCATGTCACAATCCTCCAGAGAAGCCTATGTTAAGGACACAGATTTTTATCATCATAGAAAACGCTGAGTCTGAAAGTGGAGTCACCTGAACTGACCACAGGGGCCTCCCTGAGAAAGGGCAGGAGAAAGCAGCTTGGCCAACCCTCCCTTGGCTGGGAACCCCAACCCCCACTTCCCAGGGGAACCCAAGGGCACCTTGAGGTTTTCGTTTCTTCCGCAAACAGGAGGTGACGTAGCGCTCCAATTCCCGCAGGGTGGACGGCTTCAGGGTCTCAAAGTCAATCTCAATCTCGTCAGGGTTGGAGTTCTTGAGTGAGGGCTCCCTCGACTGGATGATGTGCACCACTCGGCCCAGCTTCTCACCTGGAAGCTTGTTGATGTCCAGGCTAAGCTGGCGCTTCTCCTCGTATGACATGGGCTTGCACTTTTCCTCCTCCTCTGACTCATATGCTGGAGGGGGCTTGCTCTTCACGGGCGCTGGCTCCTTCTTGCTATGAAGAGACAATGTAGATGCCGTCAGGAATGGGTGCCCTGGGAAGCTAGGTACCCATTCCACTACTTCACTGAGGGACTTGGGGTGGTGGTGGTGGTGGTGGTGCACGGTGGCAACAGGTTCTACACCCCACCTTGGGGTCTTCACAGGAAACGGGGGCTGCTGCGGCCTGTCCTTGCCGTTCTGCATTGTGCTACCTGCCATCCTCCCTCTCTCCCCAAACCTGGAGAATGCCAAAGGCTCATCCCTGGGAGAAGAGTAGAAGCAATCACCCTATGACTGGGGCAGGCTGGGTCCTCTCTGGGCATTCGGGTGGCACAGACCTTGTGTTACTGTTGCTGCTGTTGTTTTTCTTGGTCTTTTTGGGAGGAAGCTCCTTGGCTTTGCTTTTCTTATTCTCCTCCATTTCCTCTTTCTTTTTGTGCTTTTCTTTTTTCTTTTCCTTCTTGTCTTTCTCCTTTTTCTTTGGTTTGTTCTGCTGGGGCTGTGAGAGGGCTGCAAGCTGCTCGTGTACGGCTTTGAGCTATGGAGCACACAGGCAAGACATACGCCTGTCACCCTGGTCTTGGCAAGGACTCCCAAACATTAGGGCCCAGGACAAAGGAGGGGGCTAGAACTTAGCTCCATGACCTGCCATCCCAACAGATTTCCAAAGTACCCATGCCCACGCAAGCCCTGGACTCCAAAGGTGCCACCTAAACTGATAAAATGTCGAGTCCTTCAGCCATCCTGGGCTCAGGAAAAGGGTCCCTAGGAGACTGGGCAGGAGTGCAGACATGCATGGGCACTAAGGGCCTGATGGCCAGCTTATAGGGAGCAGAGTAATCATGCAGATCCAGGAGAGACAGACAGGCTGACTTGGCCTCCTTCTAGCCTCACCTCTGCCCAAAGAGCAGGCATGTCTCCCCATCTCCACGTGCAATGTACATGTTTATGTTCAATATACCTATGACCTAGCACAAGGGCACCACTGAGAATTTTGCTCCTGCCAGTACACAGAGCCATGACCACCTCATGGAGACCTCTGGGGAGACTGCCCAGTCCATGGATTCTGGGGGGGAAATGGGGATGGGAGTGGTCATGCCCTCACCTGCTCCTGGAGCTCGGCCAGCCGCTGGGCTCGCTCCTCCTCGGAGTCATCAGTTGAACTGTCACTGTCTGAGGAGCTATCACTGCTGCTGTCACTGGATGAGGGTGGGGCCACAACCTTGGTTGGGGGTGGCACCACAGGGGAGGACACAGCTACCATAGGCTCCTCGGGTTCATCCGGCATCTTGGCAAAGCGCATCTCGAATACATCCTGGGGAATGGGGAAGTGAGGGTAGGAAAAAGCCATGTTGTCAGGGTGCTGGGTCCCCAGGCATGTGGGTGGGGGGCTAGTCAGGCTGTAGGCCACTGTCACCAAAGCCTCATTGGATGCTAGAGCCAACTCAACAGGAAGCAAGCAGGAGAGTCAGAGAACTGAACTGATGGTAACTCTTTCTCTGCCACTAAGGCAAGGCACTGGCTAGGGCTCAATACCAATTTCAACACTCCTCTCTCAAACCTCACATTGAGGAGAAGGGTGCTCTGGACATAGCTTAGCACACAGTCTAGGTAAGGACAGGGAACACAGGTCACAGAAGGAAGCTGTCCACTGAGGATGTCAGTCTAGGGATCCTTGATAAATGGTGGGCTGAGGGCAGAACCCACAGAAAGAGTGCTTTATGGTGCCTGTCAGGATGACACTCAGCCAGCACATCTCAAGGGAACCTTCTGAATACTAGGACTGGGCACCAGAACAAAACACTGAGCAGAACAGGAGGCTCTGCCTAACTCCAGTCCACATTCCCGCAGGGAGGGGATGGGGCCTACAATTTTAGAGTGTACCAAGCCGAGAAAACAGCACGTGTAAAGGCCCTGCATTGAAACGCACCCAGTAGAGCCCTTGGCCAGTGAGGAGGCCAGCCCCTGTTGTATCTGCCTCCCCACTCATCAGATCACCTCTGTGCACATAACTGAGCAGAGCAGAGCCATGCCATAGGCTGAGGTGTCTCCAGAGCATGCCAAGCAAGATTAAGAAGGTACAAGATAGTGGATATGGGGGTGCTTATGATAGGCTACAGGAGGGTGCCAGCTTTGTGAGGTATAAGCAACCTGAGCAGAAGCCACGGTGAGCTTGGGATCCCACCCTAGAAAACTCTGAGGTCATGGAGCTCAAGGGGCAGCAGCCCTGCCTAGGCAACTAGTGATCCAGCAACGTGCTGCCCTCACCAACTAGTCCTACCTCAAGGGCTCGATTACTATTAATCCAATGATGACTCAAGTGACGACTCAGGACAGAGAACAGTATTTAAAGGAACAGGGATGGCTTCCCAGCAGGATTTGGGGATCTGCTTTAGGCCTGGCATAAATCAGTTAACGTGTATCTTACAAGATTGAAGGGGCCTTCCCCAAATTTGAGTTGATCCTCCAGAGAGCAGTGTGGGGATTGAGTTTCAAGGCTGCTGTTTCAAAATGGCACACACTTGACAGAACTGGCTCTAGAAGCCCTCCTCATGTCTCTGGAAACACAGTTTCAGGTTTCCCCTCCTCCTGGGCAGCAGGGCTGGCAATCCACAAACTGTGGTGCTGTCCCCTCCCCCTCTAGACCACCCAGTGTGGTCTCCCTTGAGGCAGCTTCTTTTCTAGCAAGGCCTAGACTCTGTTGTCTGAGTAGTTTTGCTACTAAGTACTATAAGAGCAACACCTTTCTAATTTAGTCAGAGAGAAATCCTGAAGCAGTTCTAAGGACTCTGAAGAAGACAGGAGGAATAAACAGAGACCCTGGTGGAGTGAGAAAGACCATCTCTGCCCATGGTACCCTGGATACAGGCAGGCTCAGTTCCCTGACTGACTTATACAAGTGTCTGGAAGATTTAGGCCTACTGCCAAGAAGCAGGAGACAGGTTGAGAAGTGTATTTGAGAAGCTGTCAGGATCTCATGAAAGGAGGAGAATGGTTGGCAGGGTCCAGCACTCAGTGCTGCTGGGAGGTGACCTTTTTACCAAACGGGAGATGCTTTGTGTTACCTGTCTCTTGGCCCAGACTCCCCTGCCATGAACCAGGCAGCATTACTCTTGTCATAAGGACATCCCTGTTTCTTCCCCAGATTGTGGCTGCTGTGGAAATGGAAGAGGGGTGGGGGAGACAGTACTCATCCTGGTGTGTCTCAGGTAGACCCAGCTTCCCTGCCCAGCATGCCGTCATCTGTATCCAACTCCGAGAATCTGGATCACATTATGATTCTTTGCCACCAGCAAACCACACTAATTTCAAAGCCTGTACCTACTCTTGCTATAATGTTGACCAGGATTACTTACACTGGGTTGCATCAGATTCATGGCGGAAGCACACTCCCCTACCCCGTTTTAGTGAAACAGAGATGTTTAGATGCTGGGAGGTCGCAGTGCCCAAAGACCTCCAAGTGAATTGACCCAAAGCCAGTGCAGCTGGAGACTATTTGGGGGGGGGAGGGTGGCCCTACCCCTTCTCAGCCAAACCTGAATATTGCTGAGGGGTTTGGCCACACCAAGGCACAGGGTCAGGACAAGCGAAATGGAATGCAGGCAGGCAGGCAGAGATCCACTAGGTGCCAGCTGCTGGGGACACAGCTATGAGTGAAAAATACTCAGACACACAACCACCCCCCGAAAAGCTTCCTGACTCTGGGATATAACATAGAATCCCAACACACTTTTCAGTTAAAAAAAATTTTTTTTTAATCCTCACCCGAGGACATTTTTCCATTTCTTGTTCAGATAGAGTGGGAGGGAAAGAGAAGAAGAGAAAGAGAGAGAAACGTCGATGTGAAAGGGACACATCGAGTGGTTGCCGCCCGCATGATCCAACTAGGGCCGGGGACAAACTGCAAACGAGGTATGTGGCCTTAGCAGGAATCAAACCCGGGTCTCTCTGGACCACAGGCTGACGCTCTAACCGCTGAGCCAATCCGGCCAGGGCAAATTTTTTTCTTACTATAAACACAACTGCATTCTACCAGAAATTTTCACTTTTTTTTCGGTTGATCCTCACCTGAAGATATTTTTTCCATTCAGTTTTAAAGAGAGTGGAAGAGAGGGAGAGAAGGGGGAAGAGAGAGAGAAAGAAATGCCATTGTGGGTGAGACACATCGACTGGTTGCCTCCCGCACATGCCCCGACCAGGGCCACAGATTGAACCTGCAACCCAGGCATGTGCCCTTGACCAGGAATCGAACCCATGATCCTTTGGTCCGTGGGCCAATGCTCTAACCACAGAGCAACACCGGCCAGGGCTGCACTTAAAAAACAACAACTGGTAATCCACATAGGTACTAAACTTCCTCAATTACTTACTTCACAACAGAGAAGAGGGTAGAGGGCACTATTACCAGAAGTTCTGGTCCTACGTCACCCTCAGGTTCCTGAGGAAATCTTGAGCCCAAAGGCTTGTGACTATGGCTGCCAAGCCTAGAATCTAGAGACTGGAAAAGGAAAATAAAATAGATCCTTTCCCACATCACATTTCCCAGGTAAATCCCAGTCCTTGGGCATAACCTAAGAGACAACAGGTCTAAAGCAGTGGTTCTCAACCTGGGCATCGAACGACCCTTTCACAGTGGCCGCCTAAGACATAACAGTAGCAAAATTACAGTTATGAAGTAGCAACAAAAATAATTTTATGGTTGGGGGTCAACACACCATGAGGAACTGTATTAAAGGGTCGCGGCATTAGGAAGGTTGAGAATCACTGGAAAGGGCTGGGCAAACAGGGCTGGGGCTTTGTTCCTCTCCCTCTCCACTGGGGAATCCAGCCATCTAAACCATGCTGATCCAGTAGAGCTTAAGAGAGAATAAAGAAAAAAGTCTGAAATGCCATAAACATAACCATCTTCCCAAGAGAAGTCAGCACAGAGAGCACAATACTTTAACTCTGCCATTCAGTAAAGACCCCCACTCTCTTCCTGGTATGATCCTTTCAGTAATAAGGTGACTCACAACCTGCAGCAGGAAAAGTAGGCTGGGGGTGGAGGTGGTCCTGTGCTGAGCTGCCCACCTACTGTACTGCCCAGTCCAGCCCAGCAAAAAACAAAACAAAACAAAACAAAACAAAACCACCCCAAGATCTGAAAACAGGCACAAAAATTAGGAAGACAAAAATAATTTATTAGAAGATACTTTCTTTTTTAAATAAAGCTGCTCAAAATAGAAATCTTTGGCACTGGCAAAGAACTTGTTTTGATTTATCTGTTTGCATGACAGCAAATAAAAGGTGTGGGTAACAACCTGGACAAAAGTTGCCTCTCAGTCCTCCCATGAGGGAGGGGGTGTGTGTCTAAGGTGCACCACTGAGGGCACCACTGCCATCTGGTGTCCATGTATGAGAATTACAGTAAAATGATAAAGCCTGAACTACTTCAAGGACAGGAAATGCTAAAGAAAAATAGTGAACCAGCATCAATGTGAAGAAAGCTAACACGACTAAATAAAGAGAGTCCCTTCGACGCCCCCAACTAAGACAAAATAAAACTAAGAAATAGCAGTAGATATTAAAAAAAAACTTCAAGTCTGACTATGCATTTAAATAATAGCCAGGTCCACACTAAAAGGTTTTTCCTATGTGAAATGTTCTGGACACGTCCTTTGAACCCAAGGCAGCCCCCAACTTGGACAGGGACCGAATGAAAGAACAGGGGAGACAGTGCCTTGGTTCCAGTGAGAAGGTAGGAGACACTAACTATGTTGGTAAGTGTGAAACAACACATACTTGGAGCTAACGTAGCTGGGAGGCAGGTGGGCAGCAGGGCTCAGGTGACCTCTAACTGGCATAGACACAAGTTGCCAAAGTCTTCGAAAGTCCTGACTTCTGCCCTGGAAGCATTTTGCAGGTTGTTGGGAAAGCCAAGTGTGAGAAAGCCCCATCTGGCCACTCGATGGGAATTGGATGTAAGATATAGAGATGGACCTGAGCTCTAGCCAGAGCACCTGCATCTTGCATCGACATGTGGCCTAGCCTATGACCTGCTGCCTCTGACCCTGAAAGCAGAAACAACCTGGAGCCTTGTATGTATAGTTTTAAAGATCGGGGGGGGGGGGGGGGGGGAACGTGAGGTTGATTCACCCATTTATGCTGTAATATGCCCCTCCCATCTACACTGTGCGTAGCCCAGGATCCACTTGAAGGTGCCATGAATCCCACCCATTTGGCCACTGCTAATACACTGAACATCTAGAAGTAGCCGCACTGCAACTGGAGGGCAAGCTAAGGCTTCAGGGGTATAGGGAAGAAATGCCCACAGTCAAGCAGTTACTTTAGCTCACCATGACAAAGTGTCTACCAGGCAAGCATGTTCCCCTGACTTGAGACAGGCATGTTTTGGAGAAGAGACCGGGCCATCATGCACAGCACACAAGCTTTTCCAACCAAGGGTAACCAAATGCAGGTAGTGGTGCCTGCAATGAAACACCCCCAAACAAAACCCAAAATGCCCAAGACCAAAACTCAAACCAAACCCCGTTTTAATTATAATGAAACAATCTCAATGTGAACTGTAGGCATTATCCTGACTGAGTCCACTATTCAAAAGAAATGTGGAATTATACCAAAGCAAGTGACAGAGATAAAGTCTGCCAAGGCCCACAGAAGCCTGGCCTGTTCAGGAGCTTCCCAGAGCCTCACCTGGAGCTTTCGGGCCATGGCTACCACCTCGTGGTCAGGAGGGTTGTACTTGTAGCAGTTAGAGAACATCAACCGGACATCTGCACCAAATTCCTGAGCATCTCGGTACTCACGGGCCTCCAGTTTAGACTGGAAAGACAAGATAGGTTGTGTCTGCCCCCTGCCGGTGGGAGGTGGCAACAGGAAAGGTTGCTAGCAAGAGCAAGTTGGTGCCTCAGGAGCTTGGGGTTTAACCCAGACTGTGCAGAGAGTTCATCACACTAGATCTCAGTGTCAGGTAAAAAAAAAAAAAAGAGAGACCCTCAACAGCAATTCTAATGGCTAAAACTGCCCTGCTAGAATGCAAACCCACCCATGTGGTCACTTTACGTGGCTAAGGGGCAAGTGGACATAGAATCCACAGGGGCAAAGCTTAAGCCAGAACTGAAAAGGGAAGGCTAGACCCAGTTCTGATCAGCTGTAAAGTTGTTTTGGTAACAAAAGACAGAATACTGGTCAAAAGGAACAGAGCACTGTCCCTGCTGTGTCCACCTCAAGTTTGGGCAGGCTTACTCTACACTCAGAAGAAGAAAAATGCAAAAAAGCTTAAAATAAAAACAAAAGGCTTCAGAATATGACAGTGGAAATGCAACAGAAGACAGCAAGGCTCTCCTAATGACATAGAGCCTGGCAAAAAACTGGAGCCATCTATTTTATGCAAGCAAGGTGCCTGAACTATACCCCAAAGCCAAAGAAGGCTCTTCCTGAGACTAGGGGGCAGCACGGCAGTCTGTGACCAAAACTGCCACACTGTCAGGGAGCATGTGCCTACAGTTCCCAGAAGGGGGCGCTGTGCTTCTTTGGGCTGGTGAGGAGTCTACAGAACTGCTGGGTCATAGTTCTAGGGTCTCATGGGTGCCTGCCTACCCACCTTAATTGTGCTCATGTCCATGGGATGCTTGATGATGTCACAGTAGTCGTGAAGGCCCAGTGCCTCCACGTCCACAGGCTTGTAGAAAGGCCAAGCGTAGGCTGCGTGCTTCTTGGCGAACATTTCCTTGAGGATGCCACTGCAGCACTTGAGCTGCTCTGAGACCTTGCTGCTTTTGTCCAGTGCTGGATGCTGCTGCGAGTCAGGCACATCCTTTTTTGGGGGCTTCACAGGCCGGCTGCTCTCCCGCCGGGGCCCCAGCTTGGTGGTCTTGGGCTCCGGGGGCAGCAAAGGTGGCTCGTGAATGGGGTCGATGGTAGTGGGGGTGGTGGTATCTGCTTTCCTCTTAACACCCTTTTTTGTCTGCAGAGAGCATAGGCAAGACAGCACAGTCAGGGTGTGGCTGGCACTGCAAGCCATCAAAGCTACTCCTGAGACCAGGTCCTTTCTAGGGTCCCAACCCTCCAAAGGAAAAGAAGATCCTGTCCTACCACCCTGCTCTGCAGCTAGGACAGACCCTGCCAGGGGCAGGAGAATGTGTTCCATTGAGTGCTGTATCTGCTCACTGAAGGCCAATGAAACCTCCTGAAGCAGCTTTCTATTTGTTGCTGGGAGGCCCCCCAGATCCAAGCCTGCCAGTAGGCCACCTTGGAAGGCAGGTTTCAGAAACTGCCTCTGCCAATATGCACCAAATTGGAAATGGGAAAGGCCAGCAACCCCAGGGGAGAGTGCCGCCATTATGGAATCTTTGGGTTAGCAGCTTCTGGGCTGTGTTGACTTAAGACCTAAAGACAGCATAATTCTCCTCCCCATCCCTCAACACTCACATGTGCCCTGGGAGCCAGGACAGGCTCTTCATAAAGCACTGGCAAAGATGGGTAACTATCTCCTTCAAGCCTCACTGCTACAGATTAAGGGGTAGGGGTGGAGGGGAGGTGCTAGCTGAGGTGGTACGAGCCCATCAGTGATTGGGCTGGGCCACACACAAAAACATAAAGGACACTCACCTTCACAGGCTGTGGGGTGGCTGCAATGATAGGTGGATGGCTCTGCACAGGCTGGGGAGCGGGTGGGGGTGGGGGCTGGGGGGGCACCGGTGGGGGAGTCTGCAATGGCTGGGGAGGCACCACCGTGACAGGGGTCTGGACAATGAGGTCTGGGGTGACAGTGGGGAAGGGGTGAGGTGCAGCCTGCACAGGCGGAGGATTCTGCTGAGAGGTCTGTGTCTGTGGAGGAGTCGATGCTTGTGTTGTGTTTGGTACCGTAGAGACGCCAGGTTTTGCTGTCCCTACCAACCATAAAAGGGACAGGTGGTTAGATGCTGCACCAGACACATGCGAGCCCAAACTTGTGGAGACACTGTCACATGTGGTAAACACACATCTTCATAGACATGGCACACGGTGCCACCATAACTATTTGCCTAAGAGAAAACAGCTGAAACACCTTGAACGTTGGCTAAGTCTATCCACCTGCCAGGGTGTGTGTATATGTGCGCGTGTGTGTTGGGTTTGCTTCAACAGTGGTGGTGCATTGCGTCCACGCTTCCTGGGGGTCCTGTCTGCAAGTACCCTATTGAGCACAAAGACCCTTCATAAAGCGGGGAGACCTGGGCTGAAGGAAAAGGAAACATGCTCAGACTCAGCATCAGGACTGCAGATGGAGAACAGAAAACATTTCTTGGCAATTCCAGGCAGTGCTGTCCTCATTCCCAGAAGCATTGCCTCTGAGTAAGTGTTCTTGGCAAGGGGTGGGCAATGGAAGCTACGGCCAAGGCTTCTGGAAACTGGCAAGGCAACACTTCCCTGAGCCACAGGGAGGCTGGCCGGCTGCTGCCTCACTGCAGCTGTGAGGGAGAGCCCGGACACACAAGGCCCTATGTCCGCCCCACATGCATACTAGACCTCTGGTAACAGGGAGGGAGGGCAGGACACTTTGGCTGAAAGGAGACCGGACACCTCTAGGCAGGTTCTGTGACTAAGGTGTAACTTGAGACTAGCTCTCCTTGGCTACCCCCTTAGCACTGCAGGGCAACTGACTCCCTTTGCTCCCATGAAGCCACCGTTTCTGAGTGAGGTGGGAAGCCAGGTGAAAGCCGGCTCCTGAAAGAAGGACATAACTCACAGCACAGCCACTTTGCAAGCATCACCATTCTGAAGCATGGAGCCATGAACCAGCAAGATGCAGAAGGCGAGAACAGACAATGAGATAGGCAAGGGAAGATAGAAGACGGGGCACTAAAACGCAGGCATGGCCCCAACACAAGCACATTAAGATAATTCAGGTAAGAAACCCCTAAGCTCTAGGATTGGGGTATTAGTTAAAATTGCCTTTGGTTAAGTTCATTTCTTTTCTCTAAAATGGAAAAGCAGAGATTATCTATGGCACTGGCAGGGTGAAGAATTTACATAACTTAAAAAGGCTTTGAAAAAGATATACTTTCTTTTTTTAAACTTAAGTCCATCAAAAAAGGCAGGGCCTGTTATTTCTACTTTCGGGGTTAGGGTCACATGGTCATGAAACCCTCTGGGGCAGGTCTACCACTGAACGTGGCCCCACAGAATCCAAACAGCAGTCATCTTCCTATGATTCCTAGTCTTCCACTGGAGGTGGAGAAGGGCCAACATTGGGTAGAAATGAAGCCATTTTCTCGCTATTTCACTGTGGAAGTCCTCTACCTGCTTCTTTCCTCCCACGTCCTCTTCCTTTTGCTGGGACTATCATGATCTCTGTTTCTTCTGTGGGCAGTTCGTTGATTTTTTGCAAGAAGAGCTTCTCCAGAGCTTCTGCCATTAAGACTATGTCATCTCCAGGCTGGATGAGGAAACATGTAGGGTGAGGATCAGAAAGACCCCCGCCTTAAAGCAGAACAAGAGCTCCCCACAATGTACTCCACCCACCTCTGCCCCAATGTGTGAAGCATATTAAGGGTCCCCAAGCGGAACCCCAAAGGCCCACAACACAGTTATCCCTCTTAGGCATCACAGTCTCATGTGCCTGCAGGTCTACTGAACCAGCACCTCCCTCTCCAATCTTTTAAACTCTGGCCCATCTGAGAAACCATCCTAATGCCTTAAACATCTAACAACAATCTGCCAATCAGGGGCCCTTCCCTTGATACAATTCAACATCAATAGATATACATGGATTACACCTGATTTCTTGCCATAGATGTTAGCAGGGCTCCATGTTCCCCAGTGCACCCCCAAGGCAGCTTGCTGGGGCTCTGGGCAATGCCCATCTCACACTACCTTATGGGTCCCCAATCACCCCATGTCTGTAACATGCTATTCCCGCTCAGCTCCAAACTGAAAATCTTATCTGTGCTTGTTTTGCTTAAATCTGATGGTGAGAGCTGAGACTTTAAAAAATGCAGTAAACTTCAAGAAACTCACCTACCCATCTCTTCTGGGCAATTATACCCACTACACCAGCAGAGGTCAAAAGCTGAGTTCTGTATAGTGTCTCCCTCCAGGGTCGTTCTATTTGAAAGGGTTGGTTTTAATCACATCTGTGGTCTGAACTGTAAACAAATGATCCGGCTTCGTGGCACAGCCTAGCTGAAAGGTTTGGCTACTGTGTTAAGAAGTGATCATCAGGTCTATGTGTAAGACTGGGGGGAACACTTGATTCTACAGCCACAAGTTGACAATAGTCATGTTCACAGTTCCAGATGAGGCAGGCACCATCACTCCCTCTCTCACATTGAGGTTTCTGTTTGAGCACACTTTTACACAACTACATTTAGTCGCCTTCTTCCTGACAATGTACATTATCCAAACGGACTTTTCAAAACACGCTGTCATTGTTCTTCTCACACCTTCTCTACCACACATACTCAAGAACCAAAATCAAAATCTCAAGGGCATAAGAAGCACATGCTTCCAGCTAACAAGGATGGCGCAGAAGTAAAACACAGCAGCACCCCTCTCCCCACAAAAGAAACAGCGAATTACAGGAAATACCATGGGTTCCATTACCCTTGCCTCTAACAGTCTCCTCTGTCAGACTCCAATCTGCTCCAACACCCCTGCCCATGGGCCCCAGACAGACCCACCTCCTCCTACCCGCAGGGCAGCTAGACACTGGCCCCCACATCTCACCTTGTTGTAGATGTAACAATTTGTAAACATAGTGTTGAAGTCCTGGATACATTCCTGAGCATTCCAGTAATAGTTGTTTTCCAAGCGCTTCTTTATTGTTCCCATATCCATAGGTGTTTTAATGATCTTATAGTAATCCTGGAGAGCAGAGAGAGCAAAAGGCCAGTGTCACCTCCGTAGTCATACAGCACTTGTAGGTGGGTGGCCTACGGATCTCACAGGTCACTCCACAGATGCACAGCCCAAAGCTCTTCACACAGCGTCAGTGGATAATCTCAAGGGGACCCCAAGATAAAGTAGACCAGGGAAGGATTCCCAAACGCTGGCTGGTAATTTGGAGGAAAAACATTCACATTTGCCAACTGCCCTGGTCTGAGAATAGGTTTTCTTTACTGAGATCTATTTTCTCCTATATGTTAAAATAACCTTCCATTTTAAATAATAGGGAGAACATAAAGCCTTAAAAAAAAAAAAAGTACTTATCTAATAAAACCATCTTTGGCAGGTTCTAATTTCCCTCCACAATGTGAAATTTTATGCATCCATAAAATTAAAACTCCTATGGAACTAGCAGTGGAGCCCTCCTCTAACAAACCTGCTTCCTGTCATGCTGAAGAACTATGGAGCAGACCTCCACTTTCAGTCAAATCCACTGGACTTCCACTTCTTTTACTTGTACAGTCTACCACTAACACTCATTAGTATCAGGAACAACAACTGCACAGGTTAACTGCCCAATGAAAAATGTGCACAGCCTTCATAGGCCCACTCCTCAGATACTTGGATCTTATTCTACAAGTGCCAAACAGAAGGAGCCAGATGGCCGACATAGATGTCTTAAAGCCCTTTGGATCGAACACTACCATCACCACAGCTTTCCTCTAAGTCTAGAATACTAAAACCAAATGTTTATTTTTAAAAACCACAGGAAAATTTGGGGACAGATCAAGCTGCACCTGGATTTCCAGGTGGAAGAACCAAAGAGCCAGGCAGGGTACCTGCATGTAGCCAGCCAGCCCTACACCAAGAGCCCCTTAATTAGGCTTGGATGGGGTATCAGAACGAAGTCCAACTGAAAGCCTGATGGCTTAGACAGACCTATCTGTTAGCATGTGCCAAAGTCCTGCCCGGTAATGGTGGTGGGCAGTACTAAAAAGGCAAGCCAGGGGCGTGAGATTTTGAGTTGCTCTGATACCCAAGAGAAAGAAACAAAAGCCACCATCTTACACAGATTCCAGCGCTAGGCATCCTGGTCAGGAGGCCTGGAAGGGGAGACTGAACCAGACTTTCTACATTATACTATGCTCTGATCCTCTCCCCCAAGAGAATCAAGTTCACATGTATCTCACCAGTAGAAATCCAGGTTTATTTATGGCCAGAGGTCTCTTAGAATGGTGCCAGGTGCTTTGAAGTGGCCACAGTGTATCAAGTGGCTCAAGGGCAAACAGGACAGTGGTTCAGGATGGAGCACGTGGGAGGAGGTAGCATGAAGACAAAAGCCGGTGGTAGGGAGAAGGAACTGACAAGGGGGCAGTAAGTTTAGTAGCACGGCAGTCCAACCATACATGTGTACTGAATGTGAAAGGCAGGCATTCTAGTGAAATGTCCAGCAAGGACCAGAGGTCAAAATGGAGGTAAAGATCTGGAAGGCATCAGAAAACAGGAAAAGGAGGAAACCTTTTCTGGGTGGACCTACAGACATCTCCAAGGGGAGAATGGTCTCTAAAAAAAAAAAAACTAGACTTTAGCATGACACTGCTCCCAGCCAACCAGCACCCCCCACCCCCACTCCACACCTCTGGGTCTGCTCCTCACTGTCCCCACCTCTCTGAAGATACTGGATCAGTGCCACTGTCCATCTGTCTCACCTTCCTACATCAGAGCTGCTGAGGGTGATGTCAATAGTCACAGAGACAAGGGAGGAACCCTTGGCCTACTAGACCGTCCTCCCCCATGTCTGTCCCACTGGCTGAGATGCTGCTGTCTAGAAATCTGGGGTTCCCCAATGCCCCTTCTCCTCCTGCCTGCATCACCCTCTCAGCCCTCTATGTCATCCTATACAAACCAACCCCTTCTTTGTTCTGACCCTGCCGCGTTTCCCTTCAAAGCCAAGTTTCTTCGAATGATGGCTTCGCGTCCTCACCTTCTCATTCACACCGTCGCGAATCTGGTTTCTACTTCTGCGTCACATCTTCCTAAGGTCACCAATGCCCTCCTAAAGGCCAACAGGAGGGTCAGGTCGGAATCCTCATCTCTGGCCCCCCTGTAGCCTCCAATGTGGAGACATGGGGGACTGCTCTCTGCTGGCAGGTCTCCTGGCTTCCCTCTGCAAGCTCCCACCTCCCTGGTTTCCACCCCAGGGGTTCTGCTCCCCCATTTTTTGTATTTGCTCTGGGAAGGTCACCCTCACCTGTGGACCCTGCACAACCAGCTCAGCCAGAGACCAGAGTAGCAAGCTCTGCCAAGAGCTTCCCTCCAGTGACAGGTCGGCTGCCTCTCCGCCTTGTCATAGTCAATCACAAAAGTGGCCTCTGAAGTCCAAATTTGGCAAGGACTCTCTTTTACCTCCACCCCCTTTCCCAAGCTAGTTCATGACCCATACCTGCAATGCCCTTTCCTGACTCTCTCTTCCTGAGTACACATGACATGTATTTAGCAGACAGATAGCACTAAACGGTTGTCACAGATATAGTGGCCTTCAAACCAGGAGAACCATGCCAGTGCGTTCATCCTTCTTGAAAATGGATGCCTGGCTGAGGCTGCAGTTCTTATAGTTGTGTAGCTCTAGCTCTCATAAACCCCTGCCTGGGTCATGTAATTCCAATCCCTGGTCCAGAGGGTGCGGGTGTAGGGATGGGACTTGGCAAACAGCAGTGGGTAACCGAAAGACAATCAGTCCTTGACGCTTTGAAGAAAAACAAAATTAAAACATTTATCCCATTTGTTTCCCGAGGTTCAGTTAGGGATACAAGTTGAGTTTCCAGAATTATTTGCTAGGGATGCGGACAAACAGAAACCTCTCTAGAGAGAGAAGAGGTGTGGGGGTACCAAAAAACAAAACAAAACAAAGCTAGTGCAGTATGGCCATGAAGGGGTGGGTGAGTGGGTGGGCATGAGGGCATGCAGAGAGAGGTTGCAGCTGGGACAAAGATGCACCCACCATACCCCGGCGCCTCTAGCCAAGCCACCTCTATGAACTTGCTCCTTGGGAGATAAGCCACTACACTTTTCCTGCCCTATGCTCTGGGTGACAATGATGGCACCAGTACCAGAAGAGTACTGGCTCCTGCGGCAAGCCAGCCTCCTCCTGCATGTAGTTGGTTTGACCAACTACATCGTACTTCTCCTGGGCAGGTCAGGAGCACCTGAGAAAATGGGGGCCAGACCCCCAAGTGTTCCCACTTCAGCTCCTTATGGAATGAAAGAAAACTGCAAGCACTTCTCTTTATCTTTGTTTCAACTGCTCTCTGAAAAATATATCCTAGGATCCTAATCTGCTTAAGCAAGTCCTCTGTCCTTCCTCATTTCCACTCATCAGGACTGGTGAAACCACTCACTCCAGAGCCCTAAGGGTGTTGGAGTTCAGAGCTAGGCTTCATGCTTTTACAACAACTCATTCCTCTCTCTACTCTGCCCTAGTCTGCTCTCCCCACAAGCAGTGCAAAAGGAGTCCTGGAGGATGCTACTCTGGGTCCTGCCCAAGCTACTCACAGGGAGGTTTAGCTTGACGGCGTCCACAGGCTGCTGGAAAGGCCACGCAAACTGGTGTTTCCATAGTGTCTTGAGCACCACTTTGAGCAGATATTGCAGTTGGTTGGTCTGCCTCTTGGGCTTGTTGGGGTTGGAAGTCTCTGGGGGTGGGGGGTTGGTGCTGGCTGCGTTGGCTTGCTGGGGTTGGGCCTGGGCCTGCGTTGCAGACATTTGGGTAGTTTCTAGTCCATCCCCCATTACAGGCAGATTTCTTAATCTTGTCCCTGGGCCACTCTCCGAAGACATGCTACTGATCCCATCACATTCTTCACCGGGCACTCTAAAAGGGAAGAGAAAAGCCACTGTCAATGGAGAGGCACCACCATAATAACATATGCTCTCCCCCCACCCCCCGCCCTGCACCAGACTAAGCTCCTCTTGCAGAGACTGGTCTCAGTTCAGGTAAGCCAAGGAGCCACTCCAAGCACTGACTAAAAGAGCCCCCCGGGCCTGCTCTCCCCAAAGGCTCATCACTCAAAAGGGAAGAGAGATTAGGTATCATCAGGGAGGAACAGGGCACAGAGGTGAACCAAACAGGAGGTGGCAGGGGCTGTGGCTCTATGGAACTCATGGAGGAGGAGGAATAATGAGCAACAAACCAGGTTTTATAATATCTGAGAATTTTTAGGGGACACTGCCTGTGTGACAGAGAGGATGAGTTGTAAACCCCAAATATGTCATTTACATTAAAACTCTTATTTGTATTTGTGGCCCACGAACCATGGAACCAAGCCAGTAATTCCATTAGGTGAGCAGAGGCCAGGCAGGAGGAGTAGGAAGGCTGGCCCGCCCTCCTTGGATGACCACTGTCCACTGCTGAGCGCTCCAGGCAACGCCTCACACTTACTACGAACATCTTCTGGCAACTTAACTAATATATTGTTGCTGATTAAAGAAATCCCACAAGGAACTGCTGACAACACATTAATGAATCCATACTTGACCTCCCGTTTTATTAACTTGCTTTTCAGAACTTATTTACAGAGATACAGTGAGGCACCCCCCATGACCTGTGTGAGACCCCCCTAACCCCCAGAGCTCAGTGCCCCTGAGCACTTTGTCCCATGGAGTCCTCTCACCTGAACAATCCCTGCTTCAAGACACACCAAATTCTGCCAAAAAAGATCCTTAAGGGTGATTTTGTATACCTGTTCAAATTATTCTAAAGGGACAACCACAGGTCAGGGGCACACATTTTTATTGCCAAACTGCCCTCCAGAAAAACAAACCCACCCTTTACTCACAGTGCTGAGAGTTCCCACACTCTATTAATGAGAAGAAACATCTGCTCAAACATGTGCTGACCATCTGCATTCTTTTTGTGTACAGTTTTCTGACACTTTCCTACTGGCAAGACAAAGGAATGATCAGCTTTAAACTCAGTGAGCAGAGTAAGACAGACTTTATTGGCTAGGAGCTGCCTGCATCACAAGAGCATTTCCATTAATAAACCCAAGAGTCAGTAGGGATAAAAGAAATTCTCTAGCTGAGGAAGTCAGGCAAGGGCTTAGGAAAGAGGGCCTATTATTTAGGACCACAGGACTCTGGCAGGTAGAGAGGACAAAATAAGACAGGGCAAACAGGCTGGCTCTGTCACAGCTTTCTTTCTGGAATACACTCAGCACACACCAGGCAGACTAGCTGCTGATGAATTACTTTATAATTCAGTCCACATGTAATTTAAACCAAAGTTCCCACAAAGGTTTTTGTAAATGCAGTTCTGCTAAATGGTCAAATTTTAAAAGCATCAGGGAAAAGCTTGAAATGTAGAAGCAACTTGGTGGTGAGTCTGTCACATGGGGCTGTGGAGAGCTGGAACTCCTGAGGCAGGCAGGCTGAGTCTGAGGGCTGACAAAACTTACATGGCTAGGTAGACAGCTTTCCCCTGGCTAGAGAACATGAAGAGAACATGCTGCTTGCTCCAAGGAGTCTAGGGGTGGTCTTGCATTCCATACTGAACTTAGTATTTAATAATGTCCAACTGCGTCTAAGACACCAGGCGAGAATTTACAGTCTTTGCCCTCTCAGAGTACTCCTGAGCCTTGAGAAGGGAGAGACAGCTCCTAAAGTAATGACTAAGACATGTGCGCTCTGTTGGAGACCATCCGCCCAGGCAGAACATTTATAAGGCAGATTAGGGAAGGCTTTGTGGGTTCCAAGCTGTTTCCTGGTACCTCTTGCACACATGGTGTGCTAGATAGGAAAGGGGCACCCTCAGTGCTGGTATGAGAATGTGAAATCCAGCTGGGCAGCAGCCTGTGGGGAGCATCCCCAAACCAAAAGAGCAGCATGCCAGGAGTGGAGGATCATAAAGGGCATTCCCCTGAAAAAATTCATCTGACAGTGGGCCTGGTAAGACACAGCAATAGTATTATCAAGCTCACAGGAACACTATTTGAACTACAATAGCTTCCAAAGGCAGATCTACCTGGGTAGGCCTGCTTCAGGCTCTGGGAATACAAGGCAAATACCCATTGGGGTGCTTCTTAGTACAAGTGTGGCTAGAATCAAGGCAGGGCAATGGGAACAGAGGTAACACTGATGGGAGAAAGGCACATGAGATGCACCTGACTGCAAATTTGGCAAGAAGAGGTGGGCCCCAGAGCCAAGACTTGAATAAAATGCACCCCAATGAAAGCAGCAAGGAGGTCACCTATAGGCAGATCCAGAGAGAAGCACCTAAAGGCTGGGAGTGACGAGTGGAACTGTCAGAAAGAGCTTGCTCAAAGAATAGAGAACAGATACTGGTAACCCAAGATGCAGCAGGTTGCAGCGAGCAACCTGAGGAAGGGGACAGAGGGCAGCAGCATCCCAGAAGTTACATTTGATTGTGCATGGAACCTTGCAAACAAAAGGCATGCCTTCATCCTGAGGTGAGGGTCAAGGGAAAGAGGATTTCTCCAAGCTCTCAGATTTAGTTGATCAAAGAAAGGTAAGACCTCAACCTCAAAGAAGCAGGGTCTACAGGCACCTGCAGAGCACCATGCCAGGGCTTGGGTGAGGCCATGGGAGGATTTACACACTATTATCTGGACAGAATTTAACAATGTTTTGTTCTCATGGTATTTAATTTTACTGAAATCAATGTGTGGCTTGATTTAGTTTCCTTTAAAATTAAAGGTACTATAAATAAAAAAGCAAACTAATTACACACACACACACACACACACGGTTAAGGATACAAACATCAAGACAGGACAGGGCTCAGGAGTGGTGAAGGCAGCCTGGCCTCTAGGAGGGCTGTGGGGGAAGTGGAGAAGTCAGTGGGCCAGGAGAGTTTGCAGGAAACTTTTAGAAGACGGGTAGAATGAAAAAGCATTCACAGGACACCAGACTCCCACAGTTAGGTAAGTTGATGGGGTAATCATTTATTGGACAAGTTCAGAAAATGTGGTGGAGGCCAGTCAGACAGGAGGAGGAGACGGGTGAATTATATAGACAACTTGCCAGCTGGCCAGGAGCCTTTGGTCCAGTGGCTGCAAATGAGGTAGAGTGAGGTAGAGGACATGCCTATATGGAATGCTTATATTGATAGAGGGGCAGCACCACAGAGAAGGAAGTATATCAGTGGGGTTAGAAATGTCTAGTCGGGCCCTGGCTGGTTTGGCGGTTAGAGCGTCGGCCCGCGGACCAATGAGTTGCAGGTTCGATTCTGGTCAAGGGCATGTACCTTGGTTGCGGTTAGTCCCCAGCCCTGGCTGGGGTCGTGCGGGAGATAGCCACTTGATGTGTCCCTTTCACACCGGTGTTTCTCTCTCTCCCTCCCTCCCACTCTATCTGAAAAAAAAAAAAGGAAAAATGTCCTCAGGTGAAGATTAAAAATATATATATCCACAGTCAGCCACGCAGTGGGACTAACATGCCTAAAGGGACAAAAGGGAACAAGTGGCCCCATCATGAAGGGATGCCTGGATGTGCTAAAAAAGTGAGCATGGGAGGGAGGGTAGCACTAAATGAAGATAAAGAATAATGTGCAGTTTGGTCTCCACTATTAGATTTCCTCTAGAAAGAAGCTCAGACAATCATCAAAATGGAAAGGCAACCCACTGTATGGGAGAACATCATTGCCAATGATGTATCAGGTAAGGGGTTAATTTCCAACATATATAGAGTGCTCATACAACTCCACAAAAGGAAGACAAAGAACCCAATTAAAAAAATGGGCAGAGGAGCTGAATAGACACCTCTCCAAACAGGACATACAAATGGCCAAGAGACATATGAAGAAATGCTCAACATCACTAATCATCAGAGAGATGCAAATTAAAACAACACTTGTCAGAATGGCTGCTATCAACAAATCATCAAACAACAAGTGTTGGCAAGGGTGTAAAGAAAAGGGGACTCTAGTACACTGCTGGTGGGAATGCAGACTGGTGCAGCCGCTGTGGAAAACAATATGGTGTTACCTCAAAAAATTAAAAATTGAACTTCCATTTGACCCAGTGATCCCGCTTCTAGGAATATACCCTCAGAAGCCTGAAACACCAATCAGGAAGAATATATGTACCCCCATGTTCATAGCAGCACTATTTACAATAGCTAAGATCTGGAAACAGCCCAAGTGTTCATCAGTAGACAAATGGATAAAAAGGCTGTGGTACCTATACACAATGGAGTACTCTGCAGCAGTAAGAAAGATCTCTTATCCTTTGAGACGACATGGAGGGACCTGGAAAGTATTATCCTAAGTAAAATAAGCCAAGCAGAAAAAGACAAATACCACATGATCTCACTTATATACGGAATATAATGAACATAACAGTCTGAGGAATACAGTAGACCCAGAAACATGGAAGTAGGGCACAGATTGACATCCCTCAGAAGAGGGGATGGGGGTGGGAAGAGATAAACCACAGAACTTATATGCATGTATGCATGATCAATGGACATGGACAACTAAGCCGGGTATGGGACGGGACGGGGAGGGGGGTGCCAATGGGGTAAAAAAGGTAAAATATCTGTAACAAAAAAAAAAAAAGCTCAGGAATAACAGACAAGCATATGCCAGGTGAAAGCCTGCAGGCAAGGGGCAGGTGGCAGCCCCGCCAGCCACAAGGACACCAGGTCCTTGCCAAACCCATCCCATCAGGAGGTAGCAACCCTAAACATTTTCCACTAAATAATGACATTCTGGAAATCTCTAAGCAACGTCCTTAAGGCAAGATGAAGTCAAGGTAACTGATTTCTGCAGCTTTGGTGTTGGACTGCACTGTTTCTCATTTGAAATGGACTCTGCAAAGACAAGGGATACAGGGCTCTGAAGAGAACCACTTTCTTTACCTTCAAGCCAGTGCCAGATGGGCCACCCTTAAGGGCAAAGAAATTGAATTTTCTGTTCACGAAACAAACAGAGACTTTTCTACCAAAGACCTGACCCTGAACTCGGCTTCGTCTCTGTGCTTTAAACCACATCCACCACAAAAACCAAAACTCCATTCCTAGAGTCAGCTGGCTCCTATCTGACATGTGGTAATATCTAAATCTTTAAAACATCTCCGAGAGCCCTGGCCAGTTTGGCTCAGCGGTTAGAGCATCAGCCTGCGGACCAATGAGTCACGGGTTCAATTCTGGTCAAGGGCACATACTTCGGTTATGGTTCAGTCCCCGGCCCTGGTCAGGTTGTGCGGGAGGCAACCAGTAGATGTGTGTCTCTCACGTTGATGTTTCTCTCTCTTCCCCTCCCTCCTTCCCAATCCATCTGAGATAAATAGAAGAATATCCTCTGGTGAGGATTTTAAAAAACAAAAACAAAACAAAAACCCCAGATTGCTCTGGCCACACCCTACTTTAAAAATGAGAAAACACAGGCACAGAGAAATTACTTATACAGGATGTATAACAATCAGGCCTAACCATCCAGGATGGCCAAGAACCTAACACGTGATTCCTGGGGAGTTTTAGTTGGCTTCTGAACCACTTGTGAGCTGAATATGCATCCCCAAGAGGGTCCAAAGCAAACAGTTGGAACAGGCTTGCCACTGTCTTAACTATTATGAAAAACTAAGGCATAAAACTCATACACTTGTAATGTTTACAAGTCAATTCCATAAAGAAAAAAAAAATGAAGGCTTTCAATTCAAACATGAAGGCATGATATGTGTTCAACAGATGAGATGGACCTAGGAGCCACAAGTACCTCAAACTTTCTTTTAAGGAGGCTCTGAGGACAACCAGTGATAGGTGACATTCATGGCTCCACTGTGACATGCCCATGACTCCAGTTCTGCACTCACATGGGGCCACCCTTTGAGAGGCCAGGCTCAGACAGCCTGCATACAGCAGCTCAGCTCTCCTTTGACTGTGGGCAACTAAAATCCTTAGAAAACTTCAAGAAGCCATTA